ACTGTGGTACTTGTACATTATTAAAGCAATGAGAAATAAGAATGAGCATTTTTCTTTTCTCTTTATTTTAGGAAGTGGCCCTTGTAATTGATTGGTGGAAATCAGTTGATTTGTACTCAAGTTTTCAAAGATTACTTATCAAATAACTCCTTGTCCTGGTCATACAGGTCTATACCCGTACACATGTAGTTTGGCCTGTATGATTTACCATACTGTAGCAACTTTCAAACTTTGACCTACATGTACATATACATGTACAAGTTATAGTTACCTGGTATATGAAATTTGTAAGGAAACTAGAATGAATTTGAGACTGCGACCAGTCATTTGAACTGATCAAAACTGTTATTTGAACACAAGTATATAAAAGGCAGCCATAAATCTGCTTTCCCAATTCAGGCAACTTTTCATCTTTATTCAATGTTGGAGTGTGCCTTTGATAGCCTCAGGCCATCAGGTATTGTTGGGACATGATTACATATTTGAAATCATTCTGAAATGTTTTGCTTTGCTTTAGAACTCCAAGGTTACAATCAGAAAGGCACAATAGCCATCCTCCATGAAATGCGTCAAAAAAGGGAATTGAATGGTGTCTTTCAAGGTAATACAATAATAGAATTTTTTTTTACAGTGCACATCAAAGAACAAAATCAAATAGAAGTTGGAGGAAATAGGAGGAAATTTTCTGTCATTGATACTAAAAAATGTTGATGCCTGTGGCATGTTGTCTGTTGAGCGCGAGAAGGGTGTTAATCCTGTGTTACACATTCTAATGTTATGAGTGAACGTCCTTTTGGCTGTGAGGAGAGATTGTGGCATTCTATAAGCTATTGTTATTGGGTACTAAATCGTAGGGTTGATAGAAATAATGAGGATAATGAGAATAATGAGAATGATGATAACAATGATAATACTAATAAAAGTAGAGTCTTGTATAGTGCTCATGTCTGGCACATTGCCACTTCTGGTGCTCCATTATTATTACCCTGGCTTTAGCACCGCTGCCTTTACAGCACTCGAGCATTGTAAGGGATTAATTCCTGCCAGGTACCCATTTAGTGCACCTGGATGGAGTGTGACAAATGCATTCTTGTCAAAGGACGTTAATAGTGCTCTGGTAGGGATTTGAACCCGTACCTTGTGGTTCACAGTCTGGAGACTTATCCACCGGACCAAAACAAGTTTACAGAACTTGGCTATTTGAGAAGTATTAAAATGAAAGAATCACAGAGCAATGTTGTTTTGCAGGATGATGTGGTGCTCATATTTATAACTGGATACAATTGACATTATTCAGAAATCTTGTTAGATCTTACCTGTACATTGTGTATCGTTGCAACCAGAATGATGTAAACACTCTTTTTACTCTGGCAACTACAGGTACTGGGCTTTATTTCATAAAAAATACAGGGTTAAGATTAAGGTTGCTATTGGAATTGGGCGGCACTAATGTCCTTTGGCAAGACATTGATCTACATTTGCCACACTCAACCCAGGTGAGGTAAATGGGTACCTGGTAGGATTATTCCTTGAAATGCACTGTGTGCTTATAATGGCTGCCGGAGCTAAAGCTAGGGTAATAATTTCAAAGCTCTTTGAAAGCGCATAGAGATGTTCATAACGTATTATGCGCTATACAAGAACTGAACTATTATTATTATTATTATTATAAAAGATGATATAACTCCTTTCCTTTTTGATCAAGCTAAATAAAGGCCTACTTTAATATAAAGTAGGTCAAGAAATATAAAGAGGCCTTGGTAAAACATTGTATGAGTCATCATCATGGTCCTGATACAACAGTTATTATAGCTCTGTGATATGTGAAGTACTGATATCTCTTAATTACATTTGACTTATTGAGCTCTTCTTAGCAACTGTGGCAAGTAGTTGTTGATTTCAGATAGAAGGTGGGGTTTATCATGTTCATTTGTTCAATTAAGACTTAGGAGATATGGTCTGTTCAGACTAAAGCAAATTACCGGTATGTATATGAAACCTGTATGAATAAATAATCATCACTGTGAAAGGGGCATACAGACTAGATGAAAACAATTGTGTGAAGAAACTTTGTATAAAGACACAAGTTAGGAAGTCATCAGTGGGAGGGAGGGAGGGAGGGAGGGAGGGAGGGAGAGAGAGAGAGAGAGAGAGATAGCTGTAGAGAGATGGAGAAAATAGTAGAGATGGATAGAAATAAAGACCTTCCAAAATAAAGGAAAGAACAAAAAAGAAAGAGAGATGCAGAGAGATAGTTCAACAGATCAACTTCATTTTTTTTTTTATGTACTACCAGTCTGCATGTACAAAATCAAACTTTCCCAATTGCCTCTTACATACTGTACATGTATACTCAACTTGATAAAATCAGAGTTCTGTGCACTGGGGAACTTTTGAACTTGTTGACAAACAATACAGTTTCATTTGAGGTCCCATGCATTCAGCAGACCTTATGGAATAAGTGGGCTAACTACCTTCCCCTCCGAAGAGACAAATATTTCTGACATTTTGACCCTTTTTGTGAAGTAGTCAAGCTCACAAGCATAAAAAATAGCAAGTTCACTGATGTCAAGTGCGGGGGCTACCGGTACATCATCATTGCAAATTTGTTGGTAGTTTGCAGGTGGCTTTGGGGATAAATTGACCTAAATGTATTTTTGTTCAGTATTATTAAAATAGAGGTCATCCTGGCACCCTCGCATAAAAAATTAAGTGAAATTTTGAGGAAAACTTGGAGAATATTAAAATGTTACTGTGAGCTTTTTCATAGACCACTACACCGTATGGTAAAACTTTGATTCCTTTGCAAGCTGCTCCCCATTATTCTTATTGTAAGAAAATGTCATTTAAAATGTCCCATTTCTGCAATTTTGATATAGATAATTTTTTTTCTTCTTTTTTTCTTTTCTTATTCTCCCCCATACATTCCTTTGTAGATCTTTGTGTCCACAATGTACAGTACATACTGGATCTTTATGAATCTCTTTCCACATCTATCTCCCCCTCTCTCCTTCTCCTTCTCTTTCATAGACCGAGATGTCTGTTGTACACGTATGTATTTCTTTATTATATTTCCTCTACTCTTGGTCCATCTCTTCACATTATCTTTTCTTAATTACATTCTCCCTTTCTTTCTATTTCTCTTTCTCTCCGTTTCTTTCTCTTTGTCTAGACTGACTCTCTCTCTCTCTCTCTCCCCCTCTCGCTTTAATGTATCTTTACATGTACATAATAACTCCCTGCTTCACCACCAGTACTGTATCATTTGCTTAGAGCACGAAAGGCTTTACTCATGTAACACCAAATTAAACACTTCTGGCTTTTAGCAGAGGACGTGGTTAGAATCGATCTTGATCCATCTTTTTACTTGCATTGTATCTGTCACTCGCCATTCCTTCATCTATAAACATATACACGTACAGAATGTACATTCATTTCTCTTTCACTATCAACACTCCGATTCAATACCACCCAACCTATCGTCACTAATTCCCTTTTCACGTTCACTCGACCGTGTCTGTCGCATGCACGCTGAATAGAAACCCGAACTTGTCTCGACTTTATGCCTCGAACGCGAGGTGTAACACAGGCTCAGGAAGACTAAAGAACTATTATTTACCACAATTTTGGTTTTTACTACCCAGAAAAGACCTTCACACCGCGGTTTTGGTCACAATGCATTCTTTTCTCCTTTCAATTGAAGCCACTTTTTGGCTCAAATGGTGAACGACGTTGATGTTTTGTACACAAAAAGGATGAAAACCTTGTAGTTTTGTGTGCATACATTTGCAGTGCAGTTATTTTTATGTCAGACAATGTGAATTATGTACACAGTTTGTTGTGTCACTGAAACATACCAGGCTTCTACCCCGACATGCACATTTCTGAAATGTACAGTATGTGCCAAATTACATACTTTCAGTTTGCATTGTGTAAATGGAAATTTATGAAAGATAAATGTTGGCAAACATACTTGTTTTTTCTATAGGGGAACATTGACAAGCTTGACTTCAAAAGAATACTGACTAATCACGTTTCCTAGATGTTATTTGATTTGCTTTTGAGAATGATGAATTGATGTTTATTTTGCCAACATGGCATGGAGATATAATTATATTGCCTTTATGTAAACCAACTGTACCCTTATGAACAAATACATTCATAGATGAGCTACTTTGATTGTGTTAAAGGGAAAGTCCACCCCCAAAATAAGTTTGTTTCGATAGAGGCAGAATAATAAGAAAATCAGGTGAGTGAAAGTTTGAGCAAATTCTGAATGAAAATAAGAAAGTTATGAATTATTCAAGTTGTGATCAATCAAATACAAATTGGCAACTCTGTGACTTATTATACAAGCTCTCCTTCATTTGCTTTGTGCATAATATTCCATAAAATCATGTTTTCTTCGTTATTGATGACGGAATATATATTTGTTCCTTGCAGGGGGAGTATAGAAACATATTTGCAATTATTATATTTAGGGTGCATGTATGGTTGAAATTTTTCTTGAGGGAAAATGAAAATTTTAGATTTTTTTAGTACTGAGCAAATGGAAGTTGAGCTCGCATGATACGTCATAGAGTTGCCAATTTGTGTTTGATTGATCACAACTTCAAAAATCCTAACTTCCTTATTTTTAATCAGAATTTGCTCAAACTTTCACTGACTTGTTTCTCTCATTTTTCTACTCCTATTAAAACTAACTTAATTTCAGGGTGGACTTCCCCTTTAAGTTTTGAAACTTGAAATTTTTTTTTTAATTTTTTTTTTAGAATACTAATATTATGTAAATGCTCTGTGTATAATATTGTTTAGCTGGAAAAGAAGCGGGAAATGTCAATTTAAACCTGACCCTGACTGATTTTGAGAGATCAGAGAGTTGACCATGAAACCAATTAAAAATTTTCTGATTTATTGCTCACCTGAAACAAAATTGCATTGCAAGTTGCATTCGATGTATCTTTCAAGCTTTTTTGTTTTTTGTTTCTTTTCTTTTCCAGTCACTATGATGAATCAACCACATTCAGTAACCCTGTAACTGGACGAACAGAGATGGATACAGACGCTCCGGATGCACCACAAATGTAAGTCAGAATGTATCATGTAAAGGAAGATTCTGGGAATAAAAAGTCTGGCAGATTTGATACCTTACATGTACATTAACTTAGTGTCTGATCACCTACATGTAAGTAACTCCCTGTCCTACATATTAGTGAACTGTCAACATTTAAAGTTGATGGTTAAAAGAACTACATGTTTATCTATTGATGTAATCCCATTTACTTAAATCTCTGTCATGGCAAGACTTGAAACGAACCTCACATCTTCTAATCCATTTTGTAAACAAAGCCTTTGATGCTACTAATTCTTAAGCCCTTCAATGCTGGGAATCAGATTTCTTCATTCATACAGACATTTCTCATATCAGAATGAGAGCAAAAGGGGTAATAATTCTTCCTCATTCAAATATTTCTACCCTAGTTGCCCAACCTTAAACTTAAATGTACATCGTTTTTTAATTGTATAAGATGCATCTTCAACTCATAAGCGTTCTTTGTTCCTCGTGGATGGTAGAGGAAAATCTGTTTGTGTCTCATTTAACTGCTGCACATTGCCAAATTTGCAAGTGGTCCTTCAGTTATTTTACTTTACATTTCATGGATTATTAACTGGATATATCTGCTGTTGAATGACATTTTGAGCTTTTGGATGGTAGGTTTACGCTGATTCACTTGTGATTACACGGCGTAGATTGCAAGAAAAGTTTTCAAACTGCTGCAAGAAAGGCGGATCTTACACATGAATGTTACTCAGCAGGAGTTTGGGAGCTCAATATGACATCAGGGAAATCACTGATTTTTAGTGCTGTTCTCATAACCTGGAACAATTTCATTGATAACTCTTAAAAGCCTAGCCAATTTTTAAAATATGTTTATCAAGGAGAGAAAGCCAGTTATTTTCCTGCTAAAATTTTAGCTGATCCATCGCCAAACTGTGCCTGTGGAGAGATCCAAACTATGGATCATGTCATTAATGCTTGTCCTATCTACAAATCCCCTCACGGTGCTTCTGGACTTTGAGGGCTCGATGATGAGGCAATCAGTTGGCTAAATAAGGATCTTCCTATTTAGATGATGTACTCCTTGATATACTTTGTACGAAGGAACGTACGACCAGGTTGAAATTATGTAACCTCTATTATCAATTTCATTGTATTTCTATGACAGGTACCCCTCTAATGATCAGAACAGCCCCCCGGCCGACGCCGACTACCCCGAGACCCCCCAGAGCCCCACCCTCTCAGGGAAACCCTCCTTTAAGAAACGCACCATCCCCAAGCACGAGGCACCCAAGGTCAAGCGACGAGACGGTGCCGTGGTGTCCAAGGACGGCTGGCTACAGAAGAAGGACAGTACCGGTCTAGGGGTCTGGCGCAAGAGGTGGTGCGTCATATCGGACTTCTGTCTCTTCTACTACAAAGGTAAGAGTAGAGATTCATATTTTTAAATTTTTTTTAAAAAATCCTGATATACCCATCTTTGAGTTGAGTTTGAAGTTTTATTATCCAAACAAAAAGAACATCAATATAACAATCAAATGTGAATGTTTAACATTGAAAAGATAAATGGGACCAGAAAATAGCATTAAATGCCATTTAAATGCTATTTCTCTAAGTAATGATGAAAATACAGTCAAACCTGTCTATAGTGACTGATTGCCCAAGAGAAACACAAAAAGTGGTCTTTGTAAAGAGGTCCATTATATGTTTCAATGAGAAACCCTTTCCAAGGGAAACAAAAATGTGGTCTTTGTAGTCGGACTTCTGTCTCTTCTATTACAAAGGTGAGAGTAGAGATTCATAGTTTCTCTAAATAATGATGAAAATACAGTCAAACCTAGCTGTCTACAGTGACCGCCCAAGGGAAACACAAAAAGTGGTCATTGTAGACAGGTCCCTTTAGTACATGATTCAATCAGAGAAACCATTTTAAAGGTTAATATGAATTTTAAACACTGTACTGACGATTCTTGCAATTTTTACATTTTTTCTTGTAGGTGCCGATGAGGTGAACCAAGCAGGCACTGTAATGCTACCCAGCTATATCATCAAACCGGTTGAACCAAGGGATAAAATCAACAAGAAATTTGCTTTCAAGGTATGACAGTTAAGAATTCCATTTAAGTTTTTAGAGAAGATATTGTTCCCAAGAGATAAAACATGATTAATACATTTACTGTAAATTAGGTGTACCAGGGCCCTGTTTCGATAACAGTTTCGTAAAACATTTTATCAATAATACATTCTAAAATTCAATGACAAATTTGCTCCCAGCCAATCAGATACCACGATTTCAGTAGCTTAAAACAGTTATGGTAACTATTTATTGATAACAAGTTTTTATGAAACAGTGCCCAGTTCACAACTCAACCACAGTAATATACATGTAACACCGACAGGGAATGTGTTCGGTGTGCATCTACACTATCAAAATTCTTTCCAATCAATATTTATTTAAGTACTATATAATAATCCCATAAACATGCAAGTTTTCTTCTTGATGTGGCAGTGCATACATAATAATTCATATGAATGAGACAGTTGTGGAGCGCCATGAGTGTTAAGTCTGACAAATATATCCTTACTGAATGACGTTTGTCTGAGCAATTTATTATTTTCATTTGAACACAGTGAATTCTGTAGTTATTCAAGGATTAGTTTCTTGTTTGCATTTCTTCTTTTAAACTGGTTCTTACATGTTCACATATTTATTTCCATTCTGAATGACGTTTCTCTGTGCAATTTTTTTTTAGTATGAACACAGTAATTCCGGTAGATATTCATGGATAAGTTTCTTGCCTTTCTTCTTCACTGTAAATGCTGTTATTTTCGCGTGATTAATTTTTCGCGCTGAGCGACCCCAAAACATTTACGTGGGTTCTTAAAATTTGTATTGCATGCAATTCAGCCCGTTCAAAACATGCATGAGAAGTCATGCTTATATTTTTGCGAGTTCTAAAATTCGCACTTGCCAATCTTAGCACAAACTTAGCGAAAATAAATGAACCGCGAATATTTCTACTTTTACAGTAGACAGATTCTTACATGTTCACACATTTTTGTCCATACTGAATATTGTTTTTTTTTGTTTCTTTCTTTATAGTGTGAACACAGTAACATGAGGACCTATTACTTCGCTGCTGAGTCAGATGATCAGATGCATCAATGGATTGATGCTCTGAATGATGCTTCACAGGTCAATCTAGACAGGGGCTACGGGTGAGTTCAGACCACGTTTTTGTCCTCAGCTCCTTTGGATCGTGAAACATGAAGCTTAAAATAAAAATTAGATTGAGCATGCTCTAAAATTTTATTTTGTGGAGATTTGTGAGTATGCATACGGGCTATTGATGTGTGTACACGTATGATTTTTTTTTTACTCTTAATTCTAAGCAGTGCAGATTCATTTGCTCGTCGTGTTAAGTCCTTTTGCGAGGTTAACCAGAAATTTGTTGATTGCTAAATATTGGTTACAGCAAAGTCTGCATAATGAGTGATTAAAATATCAATTTTTGTGGCAAGAACATTTTTCATATTGCAAGAATTCATTGCCATGATTCAATGATTTCATGCTGTAATGCAGTCCCAAAGTTTAGGTGAGTTTCTTGTGCATGAACATGTTACCATTCTACCATAAATGCTCCATTTTTATTCAGTCAAAACTATTTTTCTCGTCCTGTTTAGCGACCGTGACGAGATGGACTGGGGCGGTGGTCAGGTCCGGAGCCCCATGTCGCTCCAGCGAAACGGCGACGCCCCTACCAATGGCAACCACCCCAACGGCTCCGCCCAGCCAGGGCAAGACTCCCCCAACAGGGCCACTGGCCCACCTAAGCAGCGAGGATGGGGCAACTATGAGGATATTGAGTTTGGGAGCTCGCCCGGAGGCGAGACAAGCTTGAAGAACGGTCATGGTCCAGACAGGTAAAATTTTGATTTTGTTTGTGAAGCTTTTCTTTAAAGTGATTGGGTAACTTTGCCTCAGATTCTGAAACAAAATCCTGGATTCAACTCATGCTGCAATGATAATTATAAACCTTTAGGTCAGTCAGGAACCCCAAGACTTTTACAAGCCGATCGCCTGTCTGATTATCAAGACATTTATGATTGGAAATTGAAATTTCATTTTTCGTTTTTATAACACTACAGTCTATTGGGAAAAATGAGTATGGTAAAACTGGTCACTCAAAGATTTTTACATTTTTGAGGCACTTCATGATCATTTTGGTGCGCAATTTTGTTAGAGCTTTAATATTGCACCATATCACAGACACCGATAACAGGGAGGGCCATGCATCTCAGATTTAACATTGTTAAATGATCCCTTTAAAGACCACCCAAGGGAAGCTGTAATACTGCAGACACTGTAGACAAGTGGTCTTTCTAGGCAGGTTCTACAAAAACTAAACGTTGTAGACAGATGGCCTTTCCAGAAATGTTCTACAATACATATGTTATGTTATAAGTGATTACTAGTAACCATTTTTTAAAGGTGGCGTTGAGGGAGAGGTTTGCTACTACATCAAGTTGAACAGGATTATCTATGAAGTCACACGTGTATCGTGAAAACATGTCCAAGAATTTATGTCCAAAATAAAGGCTACTTTTGTGGTTTATTATGTCACTTCTATTTTGTATTACACATTGGAAAAGATACTAGCAATTACCAAAAAATATTTTCTATTACATTAGTCATTTAAGTCCAATTCTACTGTAAATTTCATCATAAACTTTTGCCAAAGATGAGCCTGTCTTCAAGACAAACTGAAGGAAACACAATAGTGCATTCTATGTAGAAGACGTTACTTTGAGAAGAAAAAAGAAAGAAAAAAAGCCTGTTCATTCATAACATTGTGAAAAGCAATCGCTTTTTTTTTAGTCATAAAACTTTCACATACAATTCCATCCTTGCAGGTCCCTCCTTCAGCAGTCATCCAGGGAATCGTGGGAAGGCTCCCAGCCTCGTAGTAACCATGACACCGGCTCACATAGCTCACACAGCCAGGAGGAGAGACGTTCCGGTCAGAACAGCCATCTGTCGCCCCCTAGGTCTCCGAGCTTACACAGCGCGTCGTCAAGGGATCACAGTTATGTGGACGGTAAGAAGCAGGCCTGATAATTACCCAATTTGGATTTTTTTTTTCTTGTTTTTTCCCAATTTTACCCCAATTTTTCCCAATTTTCTTACTCTAAAAGGGGGGGAATGTTGTTAAATGCCATTTTTTTTCTTCCTAACTCCCTTTTTTATTTTACTCAAGAGGAGGGTGGTCCTAGTTGACCGTTCTACGACACGTGCTCTAGTGACGAATGCACCGCAGTGAATTTTGTACATCAAACATATTCTTAACTTCAACCTTTCATCCAACACTATACCATACTCTGACCCTAACTCTAAACCTAACCAGAAAGCCAATGTCATCCCTAACTCTAACCCTATATCTTTGATGAAACAGGGCAAAAGTCAGATCTCTGATGATACATGTACATGCAATGCCAATAAGAGCGTTAGAAATATTCATTTCATATTTAAGAAAATCAATAATTTGGGGTAATTATTACATGCTTATCATCATGATGTTCATTTTTATATCAGAAAAACAGTTGTTCAACCACATTTCAAAGCATGGATTATAACAGTCCCATTTCTGTGATGAATGCAGTCCATCACACAAATCTTTCAAGGAGAATTAGATAATACAGGTTCTGATGTGATGGATTGTTTTGATTTATATTGCAGAAAAAGCAGGAGACCCTAACGAAAGCTACAACTACGTGGACATATCCGAGATCAAGGAGCGCAAGCGACAGAACCAGCTGGACTCTCAGAGCTCCTACAACGATGACCCCCGATCCGGTCAGCAACAGAGGCCACCGTCCAGGCACCACGATGACCGAGGCTCCCTTGGCAGCGGTCATTCGGGGTACAGGAATGGGAGAGACGAGATGGACGGGGTCTTTCCTCTTCAGGACCGGCCGGTGGAGATCAACGTTTCCATGGCATCTGATGCTGACCCGTCCTGGGGTCAAGGGCCACATGGGCCGCGGTCAAACAACCCGAAGAGGTCGGAGAGTCGAAGGTCAAATGCAAGCCAGAGGTAGGTGACTGTTTGATCTTTTTTTTTAAACATTCTCTAAAAGATGTGCCTACAGGTACTTCAAAGTGATATTGAATTTTGAATCGTTGAGTTTTATTTTGAGGAAAATTGGTTCAAATTCATTCTGAATTATTTTTCGTGCTGTAGGTAAGTTGTCGAAGCAGTGTTATAAAAGAAAGAAAACTTTACAGGAGACCACATTCTCTAAAACATGGAAAAGCGCAACTCAAACAACATGGCAGTTGTGGATGTGGGTCAAGAATTTGTGAATTTGTCAAGTTTCTGAACTTTTTATTTTAAAGTGAAATGGAAAGCAAACTGCTAAAGAAATTCATAATTAATTCAGTTTATCTCCTTTGTTTTCAGATCTGAACCTAGTCACCAGCGAGGCCTGGCACCAATGGAAGAAGTACCAGTGACCAGGGCTAGCAACGAGAGACTTCACTCTGCTCCCAGGCGTGAAGAGTCTTCCTACCAACAGAGTGCACCACCAAGGGGTAGGGAACCGCCCATGCATGACAGGGTACCACCTCAGCATGGTAGAATGCCACCTCAGCATGGGAGAGTGCCGTCAGATTATGAAAGGGTACCGCATGGGCATGTTCGGTCACCTTCCGAGTATAGCAGGTCGCCGTCTGAATATAGCAGGTCTCCGTCTGAATATAGTCGGTCACCTTCAGAGCATAGAGGACCGCCAGGTAGGGGACCTCAACCCCAGCAGCAATATGGGAGGGTACCATCCCAGCATGGTAGGGCACCGCATGAAGCAGGTAAGGCACCGCATGGCAGGATGCCACCACCAGGTCATGGGAGGGGGCCACCCCGCCAGGGACAGGCACCGCCACACCAGGGACGAGCGCCGCCACACCAGAGGCAGGATATCGTCCGTGCACCATCCCATCCCGAACAAGGTCGGCCACGGCAAGGTCAAGGTCGAGGGTACCCACCACAAGGCGGTGCACCACATCACCAGGAGAGAATGCCAATTCAACAGAGCAGGGCACCGCAGGAGCACAGCAGGGTACCGCCCAACCAGGGTAGGCCACAGTCAATGCGTGGCAGACCACCGCCACAGCATGATAGCAGGTCACCCTCCAGAGCTAGCACTATGCCGAGAGATATGGAGAGAATTAACCCTGTACAGAGTCCTGAAAGAGGATTGGGTATGAAGAAACTACTTCATGAAATCTCACATTGTCATTGTTTTCTTCTCATTTTGAAGTGTTAATTCTAATCATCTGACGTTTTTGCATGAGCTTAGTGCATCTCTTTGCTGTTTTATTAATCCTATAGGTTCTCTTATGTCTTTTATTATCATATTATTATTATTTATTTGGCCATAAAAATCAGAAATACACAGTATGTACAAAGTCAACATTATAGTAAATACAATTATCTTAGAAATAATAGAGAAAGAGAAGGAAATGAGAAGTAAGGAGAAGAGGAAGAAATGTTTACCTATGGGCCAGGGTTCGCAAAGTGCAAGAACCATTACGATTAATTTTAAAAAACATGTTGAAGGAAATTTCTAAATGCCCTAGTCCACATACCAGATGTATCTCGTCAGAATATTAAGCATATTTGTGTTAAGTTTTTTTAGAGAGTTAAATCAGTATGAAGAAAATATACCCTGACTCTGACGATTCTGTTTTTTTTTTGTGTGTGTGTTTCTTTGCAAGTAAGCTTCTCTTATGCCAATGATTATTCAGTACTTCTGTTATTCATCATATTTTGTCACTTGTAATGCTATGTACCGCAAATCTCTGTGTATAAGACGTACCTTTTTTCCACCGAAAAAAAAATCGAAAGTTGGGGGTGCGTCTTATACACAGGTAAAGTAAAATAAAGGTCCTTTCTTGCTAGTATGAACATGGACCTGGCTTGCTGCCTACGATTTCAGCAAGAAAAAAAAAAGGGTGCATCTTATACACAGAGATTTACGGTAATGGCTTCAATATTTTTGTTTTGTCGTTGGCGTACGTAGATCGCGATTCAGTAGATGCCGCCCCAACGAGACGTGCATACTCCACCTCTTCCACGAGTCTCAATAGGAATGATACTCTCAAGCGACAGGAGCTGGAGAAAGATGACGAGGTTGCGCCATTGCAGCCATTAGGTGCTAGACAGGTAAGATATCCTTTTATTTCATACTTCAATAACAAAAGAAGTACACCAAATCCCTTTATGTTTACACTTAATTCAAGTTTTCTGATTCTATATGTTTTTGTGTCGCCCTTTGGCTGTGATGAAATTTTATAAGGTACTTAAATTACAATCAATAAGGAAGTGCTGGTGATATGACACATGCTGATTAAATTTCTTATTTATTTTGTTTGATGTTAGTTCCGTAAAGATATATTTTGTTCTTTGGTTCCCTTTAAAAATGATTTGATCATCATATTATGAATATAATCTCTTACATTGTAGTTGTAGGTAAGGACATTGGTAACAAGAAATATTCTCTCCTGAATATTATTTTAAATTATGCACAATATGCAGTTTATAAATGTTACGTTAAGAAGGTTGTTAAGGGTTCTGTTTATTACCCACAAACTTTGTTTTTTTAATTCAAGTTGTTGCCAAGATTATTTTTAAGATATGAATGTGTTAGCAAAGAAAACAATACTAAGCTGGAAGAATTGTTGAATATATACTCTAATTTTTATTGTATTGTGTATTGTGTATTTTATTATGTTATGTTTCACTCTTCCATTGAGTTATTAATGTAAATATGTATTAAAATTATGAAAATAAAAACCTCGCTTGAGGATAATGGGAAAAAAGAAACCTCTTACATGTTTGAAGATTCACTTCTTTCTTGTTCTTCTTTCAATCACCCCACGCCCTCTCAAAATACCAACATAAAACAAAAACCAGGCTGCTGCTCCTAAGACGGGCAGATACCGCATGTGGCAGCAGAAGACCCAACAATTTGTTGACCTTTCAACTGGCATCAGGTTGAGGCTCAGCATAGCAGCTGGGGATCTCGTTGGAAAATCGGTAAGTGAATCTCACTTTGTTAATGTTTAAAGATAAATTTGAAGTACAACCATGATCAAAGGTAATGATTTATTCGCCACTTTCATAAAAACATGCAAAGTAAAAGAGTACAAGACGATATTTCTTACAAATATGGATAAGACAATAAAATGGAAAATACACTATTGAAATAAAATCAAAAAGTGGTTAGATCATCAAAAAGTTACAGAAACTTATAGATGATCCTACACAAATGCAAAAACTAACACCAAAAAGAGAGACAAAGAAATAATACAATTGTTTCTTACATAGCGCCTTACCAGTTACAACGTGACTGATCATAGCACTGGCAGTATTATTACCCCAGTCTTTGGTTTCCATTACAATTCTGCACATCACAGTACCCATTCTCCACTCCTATGGGCAGTATTCCAGCTGGTACCTTTTTACAAACACTTGTAATACAACCGCAATGTATTTACATCTATTAAATAATAAGTTTTTAACTATAAAAGTTTTTAATTAATCAATATAATTATTATTTGTCAATCAGATTTGCTGCTCCCATATTTTTCTCTCGATTAATTTTTTTTTTCGTCATTCTTTTTTTTTTAGCATGAGGAGTTGGTCCTGTTCCTGATCCAGCTTAGACGTGACAAGGCCAACCTTTTGTCATGGCTATCCATGATAGACAATGAACTAACCCTGCTCAAGGACCCCAACAGTTCCCGTGCTAACTCTGCTAGACTTAAACCAAGGTAAGACCCGGGGACCTCAACACTTCCCATGCTAACTCTGCTAGACTTAAACCAAGGTAACATAACCATATCAGAAATTGAGCATGTGTTCCTCCACATCTAAAATGGACCCTTATCGTACCTAAAGACGCATACTTGTCACATGGCAGTATAGCTAGAATAAGACCTATGTAGATGTAGGTGTTTATTAGGGACCCAAACAGTTCCAAGACTAATCCAGCTAGACTTAGACCAAGATAAGACTCAACAACACAAACAGTTCCAGTTCTAATCCAGCTTAGACCAAGGTAAGACTTGACAACCAGAACAGTTCCAGTACTATTCCAGGTAGACTTGGACCAAGGTTAGACTTAATAACCCAGACAGTTCCAGTACAAATCCAGCTAGACTTAATAGACCAAGGTAACACTCAGCGACCCAAACAGTTCCTGTACTAATCAAGCTAGATTTAGACCGAGGTGATTAAATCACCAATGTATTGAGGTATGCTGATACAGTCAAACCTTCTTTAGTGACCCCTGTCTACAAAGACAACCTGTCTACAAAGACCAAATTTGTGATTCCCTTGAAAATGTTTTTTCATTGAAACATGTACTAAAGGAACCTGTTCATAAAGCCCACCTACCTATAAAGACTTCTTTCCTTATCTCCCTTGGGTGGTCTTTACAGACAGGTTTTGTATTATCATCAACATTGTCATTGTTACTGACTTCATCTGTATTATTCTCATTATCGTACGATAGGAGCAGCGAGTCTCTTCGGCGTAGCTCCCCAGACCTGAACGAGGATGACAGAGAGTTCTACCAGGAGATCTTGACGGAGAGAGAAGACATCACCAGGGAGCTGGACATTAGCGCCCCTCTCATCAACCTGGTGGACAACCTGGTCAGGATGGGTAGTCTGTATGGCGGGGATAACCACATGATTGCTCAAGAGTTCTATGGGGTAAGTGGATGGTTGGGATGGTGGTGGTGGTGGTGGTGGTGGTGGTGGTGGTGGTGGTGGTGGTGGTGGTGGTGGTGGTGATGATGGTGGTGGTGGTGGTGGTGGTGGTGGTGGTGGTGGTGGTGGTGGTGGTGGTGGTGGTGGTGGTGGTGGTGGTGGTGGTGGTGGTGGTGGTGGTGGGGGTGGTGGTGGTGGTGGTGATGTTGACGGTGATGATGATGATGATGATGATGATGATGTTGTTGATGTTAATGATTGCAGATTACTGAGATGATATTGATGAAACTAACAATAATATCAAAGAGATTTCATGGTTTTCTCATGTGACTTTAGATGGGCTATTCAAATTTTGCCAATTCAATTAAAGATTGACAACTTATGGATATTCTCTCCTCTAACAGGATAAAGTCCAGAAGGGCCTTCCCTACTCTCCTCCCAAGAAGCTTATTGAGTTCTCAAGACGTATGGAGGAAGAGAAACTTGTGCACGATCTGGAGGAAGAGCTGAGACAGTTAGAGACAGCAGAAGATGTAGAACTCCAGGTATGTGACAAATGTTGGATAAGAAATGCTTGATCCAGTTAAAGCCCCACTACACTACTTATAGCTACTTGTATTTGCAAACAATGCCTAATCGGTGTCTGTTGGTCCCCCATGATCCTCTTTTTCTTATGTTAATTGAGAGCTGATTTGATGAGATAACCACCTGTCAGTAACCCTGCAGGGAAGTCTAATCCCCCTGGCAAAAAGTTAGTGTAGACGAGCTTTAAAATATATTGTCAACCTAAAAAAAAAGTGATAATGGTGATGAGGATGATAACAAAGAAGCAAGATGTTCATAGGGATGATAAACTAAATCAATAAAAAATTATAATCACAAAATTGACTCTATAGGTAGCAAGTGCATGTAGTTGACTACCTAACTTAGTTGTGTACCAAAGAGCACTAGCGCATCAACTTGCTAACTACCACTGAGCCATCGGAAATCCTCAAAATTTGAACTGGAAAGTACAGTCATGGTCAGGAGACTCCAGTGTCATTGTGTTTTTCGTTTTGTTCCTTTGCAGGAGAAGTTGGACCAACTCTATGACCTGGACAAGAAACTTCAGGAGATCTCGGCCAGAGTCAGCGTTCTCAAGGATGAGAAGGTGAGTTTTTTTCACTTTTAAAAAATGGCAACATTTGCTCTTTTTTGTTATTGCTACATGTACATATTTCTAGGAGAAAGTTGTGAATATGATAAAGAAATTATAAGATATAAAGATAGAGAAATGATATTGGAAACTGAAGAATATGTGCAATTTTGTTAAACTTCAAGAGACCTCTGCTGAAATCAGCATCCTCAAAAATGATGAAGTGAGATTTGTGCGCGTTCAAATTGGCAACACTCGTTATTTTCTTGTGCTACATAGTCCAATCAAAAGAAAAGGGATGTTTCTGATGATGAAATGTTTATGGACAAAAGAGTATTTCAATAGGTTGTAAAATGTCTCGTTGTATGGAAACAGTGATACGAAATTTCTCTGCTTGTTGTCAATTTAAGGAGTTTAAAGATTTTCCATTTCCTCATTTTTGTTTCAGGATAAGATTGAGAATACCCTTCAGAGGTTAGACCAGCAGATCATTCACGACTGGGACGACAAAGAAATGGTTGCAAAGATAGAAGAGCAGCAGAGACAACTAGAGAGACAGTTAACGAGAGTTAGATTACAACTGGCACAGGGTACCAAGGTGAGAAGTCTGTTTGTTTGTGTTTCTCTTTGTCTGTTTGAATCATAGAAAGAGTGAGAGGGTTCGGAGGAATAGAAGTAAAATAGAGAGACAACTAATGTGTCTGTTTTACTTGATGATAGGAGCTTAAAGAGATCACAGCAGAGAACAGCAAGATAGAGCATAAGGTGGTATTGATGAGATATTGGCATGTCCTATTAAATTCCATTTTTATCATGCATCAGTCTATACTGCCTTTCCATCTATAATGTTTAATATGTTTATGGTTTTATTCTAGGAACTTGAAGAAATCACGGCTGAGAACAGCAGGATAGAGCATGAGGTGGCTCTGATGAAATCTGGGATGGAAGGCGTTAACAACGTTAGCACTCAGAAGGTTAGTTCATCAAAATCAGTGACCTGACACTTGCTCCAGTAAAAGTATCTTTGGGCTAGGGTTAAGGTTAGGGCTAGGATCACAGTTAGGTTCGAGGGTAGGTTTAGTGTTAGGGTTACGGTTAGGGTTAGTGCAAAGATTGCAGTTTGGTTTAAGTTAAAGTTTATTGTTAGGGTTAGGGTTAGTTTTAGGGTTGCAGTTGGGTTTCAGGTTAGGTTAATGTTAGGGTAAGGTAGAGTGTTGGGTCGATCAACAGAGACTATATTTTTTGCAGATACTTAAGATATTTTTTGCATTTATGCACATCAAATAAATTTTTATGCTATTTTCATGTGGAGAGGGAAAATTCCAGCCTAATATCAAGACCATGTCATAGACCACACGTGTATTTTTTTCAAACTTCTGAGTGTATTCATAAATATTTGTCTAATAGATCCTTTTGATTGATTTTTGATGGTTTAAACTTTTTAATTTTTTTTTATTGTAGTCGGCCGACTCAGTGAAGGAGAAACTTCAGATGGAGCGAGAGGTCAACCACGTCCAGTCGGTCATGAACGGTCTGGAGCGCCAGCGGACGTCTCTGGCCAATCAGATGGACACACTGCGCCGCACACAGTCTACAGGTGATAATGAGCAGGAGAATGGGTGGAATGGTTTCTCATTAGGTAAGGGGGATGGGTTCAGGGGTTTGCATGCTGCATGAGTGGTCGAGAAATGGTCACCAGTCTTTGCTGTGTGTGCTGTGCTGCTCAGTGGTCAACTAATGCTTTAACTCTGCAGAGGAGCAAAGCTGAAAATTATTCATATTTCGAAGGAATAGTTCCAATTGTAAGCCTAAAAAGTAATCTTATGAGAGGTTAAGTCCTCTTGTCATTTTGAAAACTCTTACGTACAAGTATACAAAGCACTCTGTTTTCCTAATTTTGCCTTGAGAGATTCTTAATATTTGCTGTGAAACAAAAAACAAAAAATTAGCAGGTATTGGTTGGGGGCGTCTTGATCTCATATTATAAAGAGACTGGTGAGTTATTGTTTTGTCAATGTAATATTTATGTGTCTGCATGCAAGTGTGGTGGAAAAAAAATGGTCTCCACTCTTTGTGTTCTGCTTAGTGTTAAACTAATGCTTTTTTAAGAACGATGAACAAAAAACTGGGGGGGGGGGGGGGGGAGGGGACAACCTCTTGGTGTCAAAAAGAGAGTGGTGCTTAATTGCTTTTCAAAGTAATAGTATCTTTGTCTGCATGTATTGTAAGATGGAGAAGTAATATTAGTCTTTGCTTGCTGTATATTTTTTTGTGTCAGCAATTTTTACTAGAGGGAAAGAATGAAATAAGAGAGAGCAGAAGAGTAGCATCTTTAATTCAGTATAAAAAGATTTCTCATGTCTGCTATTTAAACTAGACACTTGACAATGCTGCATATTCAATTTTACCCATTTCTGAAAAATTACCCACATTTTGTGTCATAAATTAAACTTTTGATGCAGAGCCTACAAAAAATGTATAAATACATGTATGCTGTAAAAAGAGCAAAAATTTCTGCAAACTATATATTTTGCATTAGTGACATACCTTAAAATGTAGATGCTAGGACTGACATGTAACTTGAAAAATGTGCCTTTTCTAATAGTAAGTTTTGTGTCCTCATATAAAATCTGTAGCACTTAATGATTAATGTTTGATATTGCATGCAATCAATAAATGGCAATAACTTTTATCCTGCTGCTTTGAAGAAGAATAATAGCAATTGGAAAATGGCTGTTTTCATTTAGTCAAGATGAATATTTAGTGCGTCTGCCATATGAACAAAGTGATGACTGTCTGTAGAAATGTAAGAATTAAATATTTCATTTGTGCAGGCCGTACTCATTTTAGATTGATACATTTATGATAAGCAAAAACACAACATATTAGCAACGAATTGAATTTCATTGAAGACGCAAGGTAACACTTTGCTTTAAAAGAATTCCGATTAAAAGTCGTGTGGCGTACATTTTTTTTCACTTAAGACAGTTAACTGTGTAAACATACATGTATGTGTAAGAATTTTTTGGGGGCAAAATTTAAGTCAACAATTCATACCTAGTTACTTCTTTTGAACTTTTACGCAGTCTAATATTTCAACACTACACTCTTCACCTATATCTTGCCATTATGTTGTGTATGCATGTCATACACTCCATTGATACTATGTTGCAGTCCTCTTCTTGTCCTCTCTTCTTTTCCTCTCTTCTTTTCCTCACTTCTTTTCTCTTTCTCCAAGCTCTCTATCCTCCTCTCCTCTTTGCCTATCCCTTTCTTCCTTTCTTCTTTTCTCCCATTTATATTGTATAATTGTATTTATGTATTCGGGCGTACCCACTACAAGCTATGCTTTTCGGGTTTCGCGCCTTCTTCCTTGTAATACAAGTTCTTTAATTATATTTATGTTCCTACTTATAAATTGTATTGTTTGGAAGAAAATAAATGTTCATTTGAATTGAATTGAATTGAAAATCATGTAATGCTGTTTTTCTGTAGGTTCCAAAGGCAAGGTGGTCCACCGGAAATCATCCAGGGAGGCACTTCTCTCTGGTCCATACGTTGTGACTGACCTTGACACCCTGAAGACGATGGACATCAGTGCCTTACACACCATGCCCTCAAGCCCAGAGATGATGAACAACTCTTCCACCTACGCAGACACCAACCTTGATGGGTACGGCGATCCTAAGCAAGGTTTCAGCGATCCTCAGCGCGGCTTCAGCGATTCTAAGCAGAGTTTCGGTGATCCTCAACAGAGCTTCAGCGACCCTAAACAGCAGTACCTTGACACGAAGAGAGGACAGCTGGATTCGCCGATGAGTCAAGCGATTAGTCCGGGGGTGTATCCAGCTCAGAAAGGGCAGTTTAACCAGGGGGATCCCATATTAGGGAGTGGCGACTCCTTCCCAAGGTACAATGACTCTTATGATCCAGCCTCAGGGGATTACTACCAAGGCAAGGGTAATCCAGGAGAGGACAGTCTTACCAGGAGGGGGGATCAGGGCGGGTACGACCAAAGAGGGTTCGATCAAGACCAGGGAGGATTTGACTCTGAGAAGTTTCAGGGTGTTGGTTACGACGGTGATGCGTCCCGTCGCGGAGACTTTGATAGGAGCATTGGTGATGCCGGCGGTAACAACGTGAACAATCGTACCAATGACTCCAATATCTCATCAGGACAATCCCCCTATAACATCCCAGCGTTTGACGATGTCATGGGGAACGAGCAATCATTCGGCAGCCCAGCCAGAGTAGATTCCAGTCTCTTTGACAGCAAAGGTGACCCTGAGGCGAGGGTAGCGGAACAAGGTCTCGTCCAGGCACAGTTCACGTCTCCGGCGTACAGTTCCCCTGGCTTCTCTGCCACCCCACCCCAGGGGTCGGTGTCATCGGGGACGGGGAAAGGGTTCTGGTCAACAGATCTGGACACGAAGGAGAAACGCATGTACCCGGAGATTGGACAGGCTCCGTTTGAGGTGGCACAGGAGAAGGTGACAGGGAGGGTAGAGCAACCCTTGATGAAGCAACCCTTGATGGACCCAATACCTCATCCATATGACATGGAGGAAAGCTTTGAACAGAAGGTAAGATGACTGGTACGTTGAGGGATTGAAGAAAGATGGGGATGGGCAGGAGGGAGAGGGAGGGAGGAAGAGATGGAGGGGAGGGAGAGAGAGTTGGAGTAGTGAGGAGGAGAGAGGGAAGGGAGGAGAGAGGAGAGAGGGGAAGGAGGAGAGAGCAAAGGGAGAAAGGAGAGGAGAGAGGGGAGGGAGGAGAGAGGGGAGGGAGGAGAGAGGGGAGGGAGGAGAGAGAGGAGGAAGGAGAGAGGGGAGGGAGGAGAGAGGGGAGGGAGGAGGGAGGGAGGGAGGAGAGAGGGGAGGGAGGAGAGAGGGGAGGGAGGAGGGAGGAGAGAGGAGAGAGGAGAGGGAAGAGAGAGGGGAGAGGAGAGGGGAGGGAGGAGAGAGCAAAGGGAGAAAGTAGAGGAGAGAGGAGAGGCGAGGAAGGAGCGAGGGGGAGAGGAGGGAGGGGAAGGAGAGAGAGTGAGATGGGAAGAGGAGAGGGGGAGGGAAGAGACAGGGAGTGATTGAGGAAAGAGTGGAAGGATGAGGAAGGAGAGAGAGGGAGAGAGAGAGATGAGGGAAGAGAGAAAAGGAGGGATGAGGAAAGAGAGATAGGAGGGCAGGAAAAGATGAACTGGTAATATTTTTTTCTCATAGGTTGCAGTGTTATAAAGTGCCAAATCTCAAAGATTAGCATGTTTGACATTTTAGATCAATTACTTGTGTGTATCAGCATGAAATGATAACTTATTTGACTTTTGATTCAACAGAAACAATTTCATGATTTTACTCCATCTATAGCCTGCTGAAGATGTGCAGCCGCCCCCGCTCACATCACCCGAAGTAAACTCGGACCTCACACCCGTAGGACTGTTCCACTATACCTCGCTCTCACCAAAGAGCTTTGATGCCCAGCCCACCAAGAAACAATTCTCCAAACAGTCCCTAGACCATACCCAAAACACCTTGCCTGACTATGCAACGCAATCCCACGACGGTTACAAATCCCCTCTGAACGTTACAAGTAACAGCGCACCCCTGTCATCGCAAGTGGGCAGTGCCTACCAAGATGGGAGCTACTTTGATAATGCACCTCTAGGCAATTCCATTGCAAATGCGGGGGATTCCAGCAATCTGGAGGGATCTGCAACACTGCCATATACGAGCAAGCGGTGGGAGGAATACGCCAGCCAACCGCAGTGGGACTATGGTATCCAAGACGACCAGGCCCCTCCCTCTGAGTCTTCGTACAGATCGGACGACAGCAAACAACCAAAGGAACGCAAAACATCGTTGTACGGACCAACACCATTCAGAAAGAGTAAGAAATATATAAGGCATAGCTGCCAATCATTCCTATTTTGGAGGAATGATTCCTACTTTTTAAGCCTTCAAGCTATAATTGTTCTAAACCTAGATTCCTCTCTTTCTCTAAAATATTCTGTGTGAAAAGATAATAATAATAATAATAATACTCAGTTTTTATATAGCACTTTATTACAATCACAATCACAAGCGCTTCCAAACTTGGAGATTATTACTCAGGCTTTAGCTGTGCTGCCATTACAGCGCTCTAGCATTTTAAGGAATTAATTCCTGCCAGGCACCCATTTATATCACCTGGGTTGAGTGTGGCAAATGTAGATCAATGTCTTTCCAAAGGACATTAGTGCCGTGGTGGGTCTCGAACCGCGAACCTTGTGATCGACAGTCCAGTGACTTAACCACTCAACCACTCTATAACATAGACTGTATTCCTAATTTTGCCTTTGCAATTGCATTAGCTTGTCTAGTACAACAAACCACCATGCAGTGAAACACTAGATTGACTCACTAGAGCTCTTAGCGAGAGTCTCGTGTTTCAGCACATTTTGTGAATTTTATTGTGGCGCTATCATTCCCATTTTCCTATTTGTATTAAAAAATCCCCATATATAATAATGGTTATATCTTTTTTTGAGCATGGTTTGCAATTACACCACACCTGTCGAAAGAATATGTGGTGTAAATGCAATTCTTGCTCAAATCTGTCTCTTTCCCTCCATTCTTTCTTTATAGCATCTTCCATTGACCCCATGAGCAAGACGATACCGGGTTTCTCATCCGTGAGTGCGGTGACGAGGAGGAGGAAACCAGGACTGGACGAAGAGAAGAAGAACAGAAGGAAATCTGCATCGGTGAGAGAGGGATGGGCAGAATCTTTGACCCTTTCAGGATAGGATCTATTTTTAGGGCTAAATTAATCATTAATTGTTCTTTGAATTAGTAACAATAATATTTTTCTTTTATCGCGTCAATATCAAAATAAAATGCAATGTCTCTGAAAAGAATATGGGCGAGAATGTTGTCAGAATGTTGACAAAATAGTCAGTTTTTATTAAAACAACAAAAGATAAATACCCTTTCTGGATAAGATTTATTTTCAGGGCTAAATTGATCACATATCATTCTTCAAATTGGTAACAATAATATTTTTCTTCTATAGCGACAATAACAAAAAATAAATTGCAACGTCTCTGAAAACAATATACATGGCGAGAATGTTGTCAAAATGTTGAAAAAATACTCAGTTTCTATTAAAATACAAACAAACAATTATTTTAATCTCTCAACATGTTGCCAATTGAAGGATCTTAAAACTCATCTTCCTTTTTGAAATTCCTAGCATATTTTTAGGGCTTTGAATTAAAAGTCGTTGAGCCAAACCTCGAAATGTGGAATAATTGTACAGTTGTGAAAGGGTTAAAAAAAATGGAAAAGGAATTTCTCCAAAATATAAAAATTCTAGATTTTTGATGAAGTATATCTACATTTCATACAATAATCATACAGCGGGAATTAAATGTATACTAAATTGTTTAAAAGATGAACAGCTTTTAGAAGATAATTTCTGTAGATAGGGGGGGGGGGGGGGAATTAATGCCATATTTTTGTTAAATAAGTTGAGAATAACTTGCAAATAAAATTACCAAGTTGCTGATTTTTTAGGAATCTTTAAATTGATTATTATTATCGATACCATCATTATTGCAAATTTTAGGAGCGTCTGTTGAATTCTGGTAGTCAATCCTACTCGGAGCCTCGGCGTGATGCTTTCTCAGATACAGAGATGGAACCTTCCCCTGTCATGACTATCAAACCAGGCAAACCTATAGTAAGTAATCAACACCTATTCTCACACTCGTTTCATGTTTACTAATACCATGGATTGCCATTTGGTCCACTGTCGGTCCGCTGCTAATTTTCGCTTTGTACACGTCTCAGTTTATCTCATAACCTTTTGGGCTGCAAACTAAGAAACTTTTGCGACCTGACATTTTGGTAAATCGTTTTAGCAGGAAAAAAAATTCCTGAAATTTCAATGTGGTGATTAGGTTTGTATCTCATGGCATTACATTTTTCGAAACCGGTCCCCTCATGTAATACTGTATGTGAAAGCTTTTGGCTTTACAGAAAGTGTTTTCATCCACTCGGTCTAATATTCATTGGTCAAATAAATCTGATAAAAATGTAACAGTGATTTGTCATGGGGCCTGAATTTATAATCATAGTATGCCGGACATGAAAAGAAAGCAGCCTCATCGGTCAAAATAAGAAATTTAACGCTTGTTCAGATGTGATGGGGTAAACTAATGCAAAAAAACTGCCAGTTTTTTTTTCTTTGTCAATGAATGGCAAATGCGCGCAGCAAAGGTCCTGTACATTTTCACAGAGTTCTGTGCTATAAGATTCAGAAATGCAAAGCTATTTCACCTTACGTCATCATAAAAAACAAAACGCTGCAGTTGTGCTGCATCATGTCTCTGAACGATCCTTTAGCCTGTTTTGAATGCGAGGAACTGATTACATGACTGTACTTCACCACATTCAGACAAATTCTGGGCTCTCTGCATATAATAAAATCAGTTTGAAAGCAGATAGATTTGGTAAAAAAAATTAGAATTCATAAGACAAGCTGGGTGGCAATGGATCAAATGGCAACAACGCACTAATACATGGTCCCCAATATATTACCTTTCATCTGCACTTAACACATGTACATGTATACAAATATGTTTTGTAATGTGATAAGCAGTAAATTTGTTATGATATTTTAAACTGGAAATCATTATATTTTGAAATACTATATAGCTGCAATTTTTGATGGCAAACAAAATGGCATAAACAAATTCACTTTCATTGAATTTGGGGTTTTGAAAATCAATGTATTGAGCGATTATTGTCATAGTCCTGACTTGGGAAAAGAGATTAAGTGCAATTGAAATTGCATTAAAAAATATATGTAATCCTCAGTTTCATGTCACCATATAGTATGACTTATGATAGCATGCACAAATGAACATGTAAGACCGATTTTATCCCAAAATGTGTGTATTTTGATATTGAAGTATTACAATAACCTACATGAATAGAATGATTTTTGTATTTGGTCATGTTCATGCATGTACAGTAGAGATCATAGGCAAGTACCCATGCGCCCGCGGGATTACCCGCTGGTTTTTACAGAAAATCTGAATTTCGCCCGTGCAAACTAGTGCAAATGCTCGTGGGCGCCGATGGGAACTTGCCCGCGATCTCTACTGTAACTTTACATGTAGGTTACGATCCTCCGGGGTGTTAATTTCTTGCAACACGCCCTTGGTGATCGAATCGTTTGTTATGCATTACTAATCCTATTTTATATTTGAGTTTTGTATGCTTGTCTGAATATACCCTGTTCATAAACCTAACTCATTTCATGATATTCATTTTTACTTCTCCCTCCTCCCCCCTCATCACACCCCTTCCCCTGACCCCTTCACGCAAACTCCTCGATTTACGATAACCCCTTGTGTCACGATCCCCAGTCACGGCTGAAACGCCAAACCAGTGCTTCCCAAAGGCTTATCCGATCAGCACGAGCAAAGTCATTGCCCGGAAACATCAACCTCCCCTCTTCCGACAACGGTACCGGCGAGGACCCCTCCCCCAGCCACCAACCCCTCCCCGCCCCAGTCCAAACCCCCTCCACATCCCTCCCGCCTCAGCCCCCTTCCCCCTTGCGGGATGACGTTTTCGCTGGCGGGCAGAAGAAAATTCACACTTTGGACGGGACGATAACTTATAAGCCGTCTTCCGTCTGGGAAAAGGCATGCAAAGTTTGATTTTACTTTTGTTTTAATGGTCTGCCATTTTGCTTGTCACCGTTTACTGTGCTTCATTAACGCATGCAGAAGTTTTGCTTTCCGGTATGCCGTGCTCCATTTACCATAGAAAAAGGGATTTGTTGGAAAGCTGTTTGCTGTGTTGCTCTGTATATTTTTGCCATCATGGTTGTTTTAACGTGCATGCTGGTGTGGGGCTTGCTCATAGTGTGTGTCATTTTTTCTTTTTAACTTTGTCCTTTTGTTCACACCACATTCCTGTTCTTTGTTTTTCCATTGAAGTACCCCATGTTCTGATCTGACTGCGATACTTTAAAAAAAAATGCAGTCACCATTCAATATGATGATTTGAAAATGTAAAATCTTCCTGAATGATGTTGAAACCATCTAGCCATATTATATTAATATAAATAAATAGTCTCGAGGTATATGATGTGTTTTCAGTTGGGGAAAGGCGCGATTAGCTGCAATTTTTTTCTCCTGATGTGGCACTTTTACAGACCGGAAGAAATGAAATACCTAACAACTATAACATCACTATCCACATAAACATGTTGGACCTCAAACATTGTTGCCTTTTGATTCTGTAACGTTTCGTCTCATTTGTTTGCAGTTTTTTTTTCTTCAGGATTCTTGTCAAATTCTTGGTCATGAGTGTAGTCATAAGGCGTGCAAAGTACTTTACCTTCAAGCATACATGTATACCACATTTCTCCTTCTTCTTTTGTGGGTTGTGATCCGTGTAAAGTTTGTTGCATTTGTCTTTGAAAAGAATCTGTCCAAAAGTTTCTCGAAACAGTAGGTGATTATACATGTAGCTCCAGGAATGATTATGATGAGGTTTGGGAAATCATTGTAACTTGTCAAAATAACAACCATATTAATTTGTGAAAAAATAACTCATATGTGACATGGGAATGCACTGCACTTATTCATAAAGGTCATAATGATATGGGTCCAACCTTCTCTGTATTTGCGTGGGGTAATCTGCATGTCTCATTTTACATCTTACTTTATGCTTGTTAAACCATTTCTTATCCTAAACATCTGCATTCTGGACAAACTTGTGGGTGTATAACAATAATAATAATAATAATAATAATCTGGATTTATATGGCGCTTAATACTTAAAACCGTCTCTTAGCACTTTGCAGTTATTATTCGCGGTCATTGTTTTCATTCACACACAATGTGCATCATCTCCACTCCCTGGGGAGTATTCTGACCATTTGGTCATTGTGAGGGCACATTGCATTTACTATTAGTGACAAAGGCTTTTGTCATCCTAAAAGATCCCCTTTACTCTCCTGGGTATGGAGTGGCAAATGTAGATCAATGCCTTGCCAAAGGACTTTAGTGCCGTGTCAGGGATCTAACCCGCGACCTTTGCATTTCAAGTCAAGTGCTTAACTACTAGACTAGGACACCACTATAAATAAAAGGAGTTGCATTTCATTCCATACTTTGGGTCTTACATACCTGTACATGTAATAGGGATGTACAAGCAAGTGATAAATCTTTGAAAGTTAATTTTCCCCTAGTAATGATGTTTTATACCATTTTCATTCTCAAGTTCAGCATGAATAAAAGAAATCAAAGGGGACTATAAATAATTGTGTCATCATTCCTATTCCAATTTATAGACGGCGAACATTTATATATTTTTTCTTCATTTTTTACTTTAATAACTAACATAATGATTTTAAAACCTGCTTTATCCTGGCCTGTATTACTGTTTATCACAATTGGAGACCTTGCGGATCTACCTGTACTTGCACATGTATCATCATCATCAGCCACATTGTTTATATGTCATATAAATTAATGCCTTTAACCTGTCTTTTAATGATATTTGGAATCTTGCATTGAAAAATTAATAACAATCCTGAAATTTCCTTTCTTGTTTGTAATCTAGTTGGTGTGGGTTCTATCTCATTTCTGCCAGTGCTCAACATTCATTGCACAACTCTTTTTTGTTTTAAAGCCTAATGGTGTGCGCTCTTACTAAATTGAATTTTAAATGTGATTGGATATGGTTTAATTCCACAACTTACATCATTGCGGCTAGAAGCTTAATGATACATATTTTGTTTAAAAGCCTAAGGGTGTGTGCTCTAACTAGACCAATTTAAATTGTGAATGGAGAAAGTTTAATTCCAAACGTACAGCATTGCAGCTAAAAGCTTACAAATTTTGAAATCACAGATTAATTATTTCTTTTCAAATTAAAATATAGAGTGTACACTACAGTATCTGTTTTTGTTGGAGAAATTTTCTCACTTAATTTGAAGTTTGATTGATGTTAGATTTGAAGATAAGAGATTTTAACAAGCAGGAAGCTGACAGTACTTCTTAAAACTCCTCGCAATAACTTGATAAATCGATTGGAATAGGATAAGATGAACTATTTTTAGAAAAACATTATGAAAAATATTATGAAAATATGACAAGAGAGTTGAAAATTCAAATCCGTAAAGCTCTTGGTATCCTTTGCATGTTGGTAGAAGCTTGAAATAGGTATACCTACATGACATTATCATAAATTCAATAGAAAAGGGTTTGAATGAGCCTTGACTTTTGTGTGCAAGTTCCACTGAATACCTGGAAATAAATGTAAATGGACCTGAAACAATATTAAAGCAGAGTGTTTGAGTTTTTGAATCGTGTTATAATTTAAATCTTGTTTCTGGTTGTTTGACAGGCTTTGGTAAATGACCTTCCCATGGGTGACCTCCAGAGGGCACTAAAGACCAAGGATGAGGAGGTGGAAGAGGAGGAGCAACGGAGGAGGAATTTCAACTACGTCTACCAGAGCGATTTGAAGAATGTTGAATTTGATGAATCGACAGGCGGAGGATTGGTGAGTCAAGAAAAAGCAACAAAAAAAAGAAGCAAATTAGCCGAGTGTTTTTAATATTTGTAGGATAAAAGAATGGTAAATGTTGATAGAGGAGGTGGTAATACTGCTTGAAATAGGTAACTATGGTGATGTTAGAGATCTTGTAGGTGATGATGATGATGGTATTGATGATGACGAGAAAGGAGGAAGGATGGTGATGATGATGGTGGTAGTGGTGATGGTGATAAAAGTGACGATGGTGTCTGATGATGATGATGATGATGAAAATTGTGGTTATGATGGTGGTGATGATGATGATAATGGTGATGGTGATGATGATGATGATGGTGATGAAGATTGTGGTTGTGGTGGTGGTGATGATGATGATGGTGATGATGATGGCGGTGGTGGTGGTGGTGGTGGTGGTGGTGGTGGTGGTGGTGGTGGTGGTGGTGGTGGTGGTGGTGGTGATGATGATGATGATGATGATGATGATGATGATGATGATGATGATGATGATGATGATGATAGTGGTGATGGTGATGATGATGATGATGATAGTGGTGGTGGTGGTGGTGATGGTGATGATGATGGCGTTGATAATGATTGTATTGGTGGCAGTTGTGATGATAGTGATGATATTCAGATTAAATAGTCAACAGTTTAAAAAGTGAACGGAGGAGCAGGGCAACATGTGCCCTTCTATAAGAGATTTGACATTCATGTAATACTGTCGTGTTTAGATGATAGAATTAGTCCTTTTTGATGTTGCTTCTTAGTAAAGAGATCGAGTTCAGAGTGTTCACCTACGATAAAAATAGGAATAGAGCTTCAACTGTGAGTTATTGAATGTTTGTGTGTATGGTAGTAATTATGGTATAATTGTTCAGTATACTCCAAACTTATAGATATCTTCATTATTTTGTACTGTTGCCAGGCTTATCAGCAGAATGAGACTTTTCTCACTCTCAATAAACAAAATTCTTTAAGCCTGTCCGCACTAATTTTGCCAGGAGGGATTAGCCCTCCTTGCCGTTGTCACTAACAGGTGGCTATCTCATCAACTCAGCTCTCAATTAACATAAGAAAAAGGGGATCATAGGGGGACCAACGGGCATCGATTAGGCACCGTTTGCTATATAGAGGGCGTAAGTAGATACAATTAGTGCAGACAGGCTTTAAAACAAATTCCAAGTTACTTGTAGTTTCATTATAATCCTTTGATGTGTGTGATTTCAATTTCCCTATGGTAGTACATCTACTGTACTACCAGGATGCCGCATGCATACAGGCGGGCCAAGAACCGCTTTCTGCGAGGTTGTTTCATGATCTCGGCAGACAAGCTACACCTCCCGGCGCATCTCTTCACGGTTAGCTGCTTGCCGCACGGCATGCCAGGCTTGAAGTGAATATGTTTGTGTCTGTGTGCGTGTTTGTAATTGTGTTTTTACAGACGTGTACCAACCAGACATGATTATTTACGTCTGGGGACCGACCTTTAATAACGTCACCATCCGAAAGACGTGACTTGGTTTTGAATCGGGGTATGCCTGAGCGAGTTTGTAGGCTAAGACAGTGGGTTGAGCAAGTGAACGTGCCGCTAGACCACCCCACATCTCACAAAACTTTAAGACATCTCTCTGCACCAGGAGTGTCATTTTTGGCAGACATGGCGCATTATTATTATTATTATTATTTTTGAAATATTTGTAAATATTGAACTTTGAAGGGATATTTGTACCTTTTGGGTGCATGGCATGTTTGCTGTGTTTGGGTATACAGGTTGTAAACTTTGTGAGCTGTTTAAATGTGAAGTAATTTGAATGAATTCATGGATCTGATGTATGAGTTCAAGGAACATCATGCACAGTTGTTGTTTATTGTTACTGACCTGTAATTACTTTCCAGCAGTAAATTGCTCTTTCTGCATTTTTTCTACCAGCTCGGTCTAATTTGACTGATTTTCACCCAAGTTGGCAGCCACATGAATGAATAGATATGGTTGAGTTTTGAGTGTAGAATTTATAGTATTTTCATTCAAAAGATAATGTACATCTTATATTATGTATTACCCCACAAATATGTGGCACCATCTGTCCGTGTAGACATGTTTTAACGATGATTATTACGCATGTTGTACAATCTCAGTCTTACAAGATTATTAAATGCACATGACTTGATGGACATGAACACTATTTGTCTGGAATTATGGCGTGATATGTATTAAGTGCACCTACATGTTTGTATCAGGTGATACATCGCCAGGTTTGACTATGTCCGAGTGCATGATGTTATTTTCAAGAGATTCCTGTACTTTGTTTATTTGTGTGTTTGTTTGTTGGGATGTACATGACATGTATACAGCAGTATCATAACAAACACACTTACCATGCTAAAGCTGAGTTAGCTCATATGTCCATGTTTTCTATACCGGGTAGTCAGAGTCAGAGTCACAAGTAATTGTCTTTTCTTTTAACAATATAAATTCAAAATTCATAGTATCAGACCAGTATGGGGGGGGGGGGGGGGGGGGTGCAAACCTGATTAGTTTTTTTTCCTCATTAGAAATGTGTTTGGGTAATCCAATATGAGAGACTTATATCAAACAAACAAAATCACTGCAGAGAAGTGAATGTCTGCCTGTATTTTACAAGCTACATGTATGCATAGATTATGAATTTATATTTTGTTTCTGAAATGTTGCTTGTTATGTTATTAAAAGGTGTTGCCTTCAATTGACAAAGACACAATTTCCAGTTGCTTCTTTGAGCTAAATTGTCACCTTGTCTCTTTGTAATATTCTTAGATTTTTAGCTTAGTATACATCCTTGCTATTTCCAAACTGAAAACTCTTGGACACAATTTCCTGTTGCCTTATTAGGCAAGAAAATAAACTTAGGATTTGCTAGTTTTCTTTGTTTAAGGGTGATATCCCAGCATTTTCCATATTGAAACCACTGGTTAAGACACACTTTTTCTGTCGCTTCTTCCTTCTCTATGATTATTCTAAACTTGTAATGTTCTTTGTTTTTAGCTTGGTATCCCTGCAAAGGTCCACATCCCAGAGAGATACAATCCTGCAGAAGAGGATAATAGTGAGGTGGAGATAGAGACAGCGGAAGAAAATGCGAAAAGAGAGCAGAAAGCGAAAAAGATGGCAAAGATCCTATCCTCCCAGAGTATGCAGGAATGGCATCCACGAGAAATGTAAGTTAAGTTGGATGAAATAGAAAGAAAGAGATAGGGGAAGAAAAATCAGAAATAGGAGGGTGTCGAGGGAGAGAGTAGGAGAAGAAGGAGAAGAGAAGGGGGAAGAAGAAATGTAAGTATGAACAGACAAAAGGAATGAATGACTAATGAATAAATAAAAGAATTAACTATAAAATAATAATAATATTTGGTTCTTGTATAGCGCATATAATACATTTTATATACCTCATACATAGATTGTCATTCACTGATTGGTCGAGACTATATCACATGTCAAGGAGCATTTCGATCTATCAAGTATCATTACGTCAGAGGGGTTGATAGCTACTATCAAACCCTGGGATAGGACCCCTAACCCCTCCCGCGACTTAGTTGCGCACACAAATTTTTTGAGTTGCTAGGCTACCGCAATCGCGGTTACGCGCAGCGCGTAGGAATTCAATACTCTTGCCTTGGACTTGATGTTGGATTTTTCTTATTTGGGTTAGTAAATTCCTCTTGATCTCATTTCCTGTTTTTAGAGCTAGATCTAGACCTACAGCTAGACCTAATCATGAATCAATAAAAAGGATGAGGTATATAAAACAAATATGGACTGCTCTGTAATCGGATGATGGTGGGAACTACCACTCCCTCGGTGGTGTTCACACCGGCCCTTCTATCACCCCCGAGGCGAAGCCTCGGGGGGGGTGATAGAAGGGCCGGTGTAAACACCACCTTGGGAGTGATATTTCCCACCATCATCCTCATGAGCAGTCAATATTTGTATAATACTGCTCTATGCGCTTTTAACAAGCTTTGGAAATTATTACTCCGGCTATAGCATGGCTGCTATTACGGTGCTCTAGCATTTCAATGAATTAATTCCTATTAGTCACCCATTTACCTCACCTGAGTCGAGTGTGGCAAATGAACAAACAAAGCAACTATTAAAGTGGTGAATTCAAAAAGTGAAAGAAACCTCACGTTGGTTATGAATAACAGAGAGACTACATTTTGAATCCTTGAAGAGGTTCACCTGATTGGTTGTCATTCCATAAATTGAATTTTCAAAGTTTCACAATCAAAAAGGTTCTTTTACCTGTGAGACTGTCGCCTACTGTCATACTACCCCATCTAGTGGCGATAAAGCATCAGTCTGATGATGCCTGCAGCAACAAGTAGGCAAAAATCTCACAGGTAAAACAACTTTTTTGATTGTGAAACTATGAAATTTCAATTTATGGAGAGAGAGAGACTACATTATTTTCACCCATCACTCATTTCCTTTTCCATACCTCAGCTTACCAGAATGGAATGGGCGTGGTCCCTCAGTCGACATGAAGGAACACGTAGAAAGAGAGAAGGAGCTCCGACAAGAGGTCCTGGTCAAGCGCCGAGCCCTGGCCCAAGAGGTCTCACAGCAGACAAAAGTCCTAGCAGGTACGCCTAGCGATAGCGACGACGGGTACAAATACCGGCGCAACGATGGCGATCAGTACGATAGGAAATTTGATAGTGATAGGTGGGATTCGGATGAAGCTAGAGTCTAATTTTGGGAATTATCAATTTTTAAATAATAATGCAGTTTCTGTTGATTGATATGGCAACCAGGTGACGGATCAATTCGATAGCAAATTTGATAGTGATAGGTGGGATTTGGATGAAGCTAGAGTTTGAAGCCCGTCTGCACTAGTTTGGCCAGGGGGATTAGACCTCCCAACAAGGTCACTGACTGGTGCTTATCTCATCAAATCAGCTCTCAATTGACATGAGACAAAGGGGATCATGGGGGACCAACAGGCACCGATTAGGCATTGTTTGCGGTATAGAGGGCGCAAATAGCTATAAGTAGTGCAGTGGGGCTTTAATTTTGCGAATTATCAGTTTTTTAAACAATAATGTACAGTTCCTGTCAATCAGAGATATTAACAACATTCACAATTATCATCACTAAGGGCAACCTGTTGATGATCAATGCGAAAGCAAATTTGATATGTAGGATTCGGATGAAGCTAGAGTCTAATTTGGGGAGTTATCAATTTTTAAACAATAAAATGTGCAGTTCCTGTCAATATCAAGGACATTCACCATAATCAACCTTATAATGGTCAATACAATAGCAAAATTTATAGCGGTGTTCTGTATCATTGGGTCTAGTGAACATTACAGACAAAGTACAAAGTTTTAATTATATGTTTATTATATTGACGACCATGTTTATTTGCTATCTGCTTCTTTTCCCCTGACAGATTGAAACCCCTTTGTAGGTAGGAAAAGGGAATAAGGTCTGCACAGAATTAAACAATTTGCACGATTTTGAATGGATAACTAAAATGCATTTCAAAACAACTGTTTTTCTTTTTTTATTTAATAGCCCTGAAATAAGCATGCTCTGTAGGTATTCTTCTTGTTTAAATGAATTAGATGTTCCATGAAGTTTTAAATAGCAATGGGCATTAAACTGTTAGTTTTTCTTGAAAAAGTTCTGCTTGATATTGCATTAGCAAAGCCCGCAAAACTAAAAAAAAACAATGAGAATTTTCTCTTTTCTATAAATTTTTGTGATGTTTTCCAACTCTTCATATGTTGCTACTGTAATGTTTACACACATTTTATTTAGCAGTCAAATAAAATTCTGCACATTTTATTATACTAAACATGTAATAACATTATTTAATTTTAATTTGTAATTAAAATGAACATGATAAGACTGTATGAAACTACTTGCTAATCTCAATATTAAATTAAAAATGTCATGTGTATTACCACAACACTTCTTTCATCAGGCACAAGTCTTTAAAACATTCTTAATACCCATGATTCTGTATTATACTAAATACGTCATGAAATTATTTATTGGTACTATCAGTTTGTAAAGACGAGCCAACGAACTAGAACAATCTCTTTGTATAATACCATTACAGTTCTATCTATACAGTCCTACACAATTAAAATCACCATTCATATTATAAATGATTCTATATTAAACTAAACATGATATAAGTGATCTCTGGCTAATATTGATTAAAAATGCTTCCTGTTACAGCATTTTTTTAATTACTAAAATTCTTTATTTTACAAAGCAATGCAAGCTCGTGGAATTCATTATTTTGATTTTCTCTTTGCTTTGGATTGTTATACTAACCCTGTTATTCATAAAAAGATGAAAAGTCTTGGAATCATTTTTTTCGTTACCACAAACTTGTTTATGACTCTCTGCTTATTTTTCAGAATTTAAAATCACTTACAATTATTTTACATTATTTTAATGATATGTGATATGATATCTTTACATTAAAATAATTCATGTATTAGACAATATGAATATTCATCTTGAGTATGCATTCATCTTTTAGACATAATATGAATATTCATCTTGAGTATGCATTCATGTAAATGTAATATACACAATATGAATATTCATCTTGGGTATACATTCATGTTATACACAATATGAATATTCATCTTGAGTATGCATACATGTATTTTTACAATCAAACAGATAATAAGAAAGCTTACCGGTAGACAAATTTATTTAGTGACTAGTTCTGTAAGACATAATTTTGCATGAAAGAATCATAATTAATATGAAAAGCTTTAGTGAGACTTTCTATTGTTTCATAGCAAGTTTACCTGTTGAGTTTTTGCAGCAGTGGAACTTCAAGACGATTTTAATATCATGTGTGAAAAGAGCTTTGTGTTGATGTATGGGTAGTTCATTTCCTTCCGTTCACATTCTCAACCAAACGTTTCATGATTTCATTTGCACATGCCATTTTGAAGTTTGGTTTACTAACCTTTTGTTTGTTTTTCTCCTCTTTATCGTTTGTGTTTTTTGCGGGTTGTTTTCGCCTTTGCTGCCTTTTGACGTTTACAGCCCAAATGAATGCTGTAGCCTAAAGCCACCTCACTCGAACCATGCCAGGACATCAAACAAATCATTTAAAACCACCTCCCCTACTACCCCCTCGGTGTTGGACTCTAACCAAGCATCATCAGCGACAACCAGAAATTTAAATTTGGAATATCAGGGACCCGTTTCACAAAGCCTTTTTTCAATGACAAATGACAAAAATCAGTGACAAATTTATCTGCTGATAACCAATCAAAAGCAAGGATTTCAGTAGCTTAGGTATAACAAAAACTGTCATTTGTCACTGATGAGAAGTTTTGTGAAACAGGACCCAGGAGTACTAACAAAATCATCAGAATGTTGTTGAATTCATACCTTATGCACTGTTCATCATGCCATTAACATTAATGTTAAAGCAGCGAGAACAAAAACAAATCCATGAGTAGTAGCTATCATTGAGTTCTCATTGAATAATCTGTAAGCACTTGTTATCATGCCATCAAAAAAGAATGTTTAAAAAAAAATATGATTGAAACCTCATTGAATTAAAACCGTTAGCATTCGTGCCGTGTACAAGTCCTTGTGCATGTCCTTGTTTTCAAAGAAAGTGTAATCATACATGTTTGTATGGTTTGGCACAGAGCATTTTATTTTCGAGAGTTGCACCACAGAATGCCATGACCTTTGAACCCAAATTGGTGCAACTGTGATATGTCTTTATACCTTTATACCAGTATGCAAATGCAGCAATGGTCAGGGTTTTTCTATTTAATGAGGTTTTCGATTTGCTAATTAACTTACATGTACTGTACTTGTACCTTGTCGTGGGCTGGTGTTTTGGGAAACTTAAGGATATCACACATTTATTGTACTGTCATGTATTTCTTTCTGGTAATACTGTCCAAATAATTCTGCACATGCTGTGCCTATACCAGTACACTCCATTTTGAGAACACACTGTTCCATCAAAAAGACCCAGAGAAATCCATGGAGTCTGTTTGAAATGTAATGGTACTCATGTTGTACCCTATACCAAAGGAACACTCACTTTTCACAACAAAGCTGTCCTTAATTGTAAATTGTTTGTGATCATTTTTATTTGCTTTTCATAAATAGTGATTTGCATCAAATTGGCTAGAATAAAAATTTCAGTTATTATAAAGATCATTTCATTTACAAGATTGGGTGAAAATTGGCAACAATCAAAATTACAGTTATTACGATGATCATTGCATTTACAAGATCAGGTGCAAATTGGCAACAGTGAGCACTTTTAATAGTTATCCCAAAGATCAGCCCATGAGATCCGAAGAAGAAGTCATTTATAATGCACTAACCCAAAGTTTGTTTTCATGTCTCTGCTACTTCGGTGCCAGAGATATTATTTTCATTTACATGTAATTTGTAACCCTTTCACTATTGCCGTTACATTTTGTGTAATGGAGGCACATACCGGTCGATACATGTGTGTTTCATTAAAAAAATGTTTGATGTTGAAAGGGTTATTTAAGCAAATTTCATCAGCTTGTGTTGAAAATGTGTCAGATCAGAAGTGTTGCAACCTTCTATGATGGGCACAAAAGTAGCTTGCAGTTTGCATTCACCCCCCCCCCCCCCTGCTTCATAAAAGTTTTTCATCATGGCAAACTCATCGCAAATTTAAACGTAGTTGTGTACTAGCATCATTCATCAAATGCAAGGTCTTCAATTTTGTTGTTTTTATACAAATGGCTAAGAAATCACCATTACCATGACAAGTAAATTGGCAACATTAATAGAATCTTATTTTTGTTAGCCATGTATCTGAAATTGAAAATGTGTGCATTTCACATATTAGTCACATGCTATTTATAGTGATACAAAGAATTAAGCATTTGTGCTTGTATTTGACAACACATGTGTGTTGCCATTTTGCAGGTATTGTATTGTTCTCATATAAAAAAAAAAAATAGAGATGTTTTATGAAGAAATTCAGGATACCATGCTGATTTAAATTTTGCTGAAATTGGAGTGAGATTTGGTATTCAAAACTTTTCTGAAGTAAAAAGTAGTGAAACGTACCCCAAAATTACCATGATTTTAAGTTGCTTGAATAGAAAATATGGGGAGGAAATGTGTTAATTTAGTTTGCGAATTGCCATGTCCAGTCTAAGATGCAAGACCAAAGTAGATTTAGAGAAATCAATAAAAGAAATTCATTTTCATGCTGCTAACATTTGGTGCAAACATTTCATCATTGCACATCCACATACTTTCATCAAAGAGATTCTGTTCATTCTGCAAGAAATGAATGGAACAAAGTTCAAAGTGACCCCCAAAGATAAAAAAAAGGCTTCCTTTTCTCCATCGGCCAAAGTTGCAAAAGCTTAAATAGCGTAGATAACCCACATGCTTCTTTTTTTGTTGCACTTGTTATGAAATAAAGTGTTCATGAAATCATTTTGCATTCATTAAACTCATCTGGAGTGAATAAGCAGGTTTTAATGAAGTTGTGTTGTATTCAATGAATGCATTCATATCCTATGACTTTGTGTTGTATCCATTGAATGCGTTCATATTCAATGACCTTGTGTTGTATTCAATGAATGCATTCATATTCTATGATTTTGTGTAGTATTCATTGAATGCATTCATATTCAATGAACTTGGGTTGTATTCAAGGAATGTATTCATATTCAGTGTACTTGTGTTGTATTCAAGGAATGCATTCACAATCAGTTAACCTTTTTGCATTCAAGAAACCTAAATGTATTCATGCTCAATGTACTTGTTCTGTATTGACTGAAACTCTAAGTAAATGTATTCATTTGTCCTCGATATTCAAGGAATCTCAAATATTCAATTGATATTGTTTATATTCAGTGAAGGAATTTAAATGCATAAATGGAATTGAACCTCCGACATTGAAGACATTTATTGAAGGAGGTTGAAGATATTGTTTCCCATTCATTAATGAAGGCACAATGTCTAGTGTAGAAAGAAACTCTGTAACAATACTGGGAATTCAGATTGTTCTTTTTCTACTTTACCTTTTGGTCAATTTTGATAGTACCCTCACCAGTTTTGTCAGATTGCATCCAAATAATTTATAACAGCTTTTATTTGAAACCATGTGCTGTCCAAACATGTCATCTGTTGCAAATCCAGTGTATTCAGTGTAAAATTCATTAACAGTTTTCTGAAGTGAAACCCCACACAAATTGAAATGCTGGGGACTGAAGTATAAAAATTGCTAGAGTGAGCATTTATTCATGAAAAGTTCAATGAATATATTTTGTGATATAGATATTGAAGGGCAAGTTTTGCTGCACCGCATATTTTGTATGCACCTGTACAAAATGTAGATAAAGATTGAAGCAATATATTGCTGTGTAGTCTGGGGCTTCCATAAATGCAAATTTTCCACACCATACCAAAGTTATTTGGTTCGCATTTAAGACGATATCGAGGTGGAATTACCGATAAAGTAAGGGGTTGGCTTTATATTTTTGCATTTTTTAGTTGTATGCATTGTAACTGCCATGAATGTTTGGCCTTTGAGAATTGCAGAAAGAACAATCTTATTACATGTACATAGCAACATGCAAAGGACATTGAATACAGCTTCATGCTAGTCATGTATGCAGAACAGTAATGTCATTGTATTCATACATGTACCACATGTAGCCATAGATGTAGGATTTACCTTATATTCAACTTGTAAAAATCAATTTTATGCAACAGCAGTAGAGTTTTCAGATTGCCATGTATTCAATTTTTCTGAATTTTTCTGTAGATAAAAGAACAATTGTGTAAAATATGTGTAAATAGTTTATTCACCTATATCTAACCATCTCTTGATTTGTAAAGTACTTCTATTCAGCACTAAAAGCGGTAACTTGATATTATACCAAATGTACTTATTATTGATAGTACTATCTATATTTATTGTACTATATTCATGTATACATTTAGCTGCTAATTAGATATATCTTTATATTGTAGCTGCCTGTAGTTCCCTTTTATATGGATTTTAAAATGAAGTTTAATCTGCAAAGAGGATTTTAAAGTATTAAATTTAAGATATTTTAAGTAAACATGAAGGATATAAAAATGAAGGCCTTGTGTGTTTTTTAAAGGAAAAAAATATCTTCATGTATACAGGTACTGGTCATTAGGAATTGAATAAAGAACTTTAACGACTTTATGAAAGATATGCTGTGAATTTCATTTAGTGAAAACAAGTTGCAATTAATCTTAAGACATATTAGAGAATCATGATGGTATTCAAGGCAAATTTGTAATGATAGAAGAGATTATTTAGGTCAGTTTTTAAAACAATTGGAGTATTAAAAGTTATCATTGTTTAAGAATATGAATTGAAATACTTTTGTGGCAAATTTTTAAGGTCATTTTTTTAAACAATTATTCTAAATAGATATCATTGTTAATAAAGAATATGAATTGAAATACCTTTGTGGCAAATTAATGAGGTTTGTGAATCCAAATCGCTTTATAATCACGAAAGCTCTATTGTCAATGTTGAAGAAGACTATGTGGGCTAATGACAATCCAAATCCATTGCTGCAGTGAAGATTGATGGCCAAGGCTTGCATGAGGATTTCTGACATATCACCAATGGATCATTTCAATTAAGATATGTACATGTGCAGTGTGCCATAGTGATACAAATTGAAGTTACATTGAGTTGAATGAATACGATATATAAATGTAATTGTGCTTTTTATGTATGGTGTGTGGTACATTGTATACGCATCTTTTGAGACCTAGAAGGGAGTTTACTCCTCGCTATACAAGTTCGAGCCCTTATGTCAGTTTCAAAAGGCAATTATGCACTTATATCATTTTTGCAAATTGAGTTTCTTTTAATACAGTGCTGGAATTACTGTACGTGAATTTGATAGTTTTCTTCAAACCAATTTGTGCCTTGTAATAAATCTAGCTGAGTATTGTGTTGAATTAATGTAAAGGTGGTGCTGGGTATTGGTCAAAGAAAAGAAAATACCTTGGAGGAAAACATAGTACATAGCAATACCACATGAGAACTGTATTTTCTTGAAATATTCACATATTTATATTTCAACTAGAAATTGTTGTTCCCTTAGAGCAGGCTTATCATAAGCTATATTTTGATCACATCATTGTGTAGTCCCAGATGCCCAGATTTGTGTGCAGTCATTGCAGTGCTTGATCGTTTCAGTGAGATGGGGTGATTTTAGTGGTTATAAAAACGTGAATATATGTAATTATTCGATGTTGCTCCATAATCGACCATTCAGAAGAGCTTTTAAGAGGTTATTTCATGATGAAATTCTGCCATCAGTACTCGGCACCACCTTTCCAATCCAAATACGTGTATTTCCATGTTATACACAAACAAGTACCAAGTATTATTGAAATTATCTCACTGCTATGGCATGCTTTAGGAGTAACAGAATGTCCAGTGAATGAAACAGTGACCTGTGTATCTGTATACTTCCCAGGAGATTAAAGAATCCTATTTTTATCTACTTGGAAAAGAGCATCATGCTCTTCAGTTGATTAATTGCGACAATCTAAGTTTTTAATGATTCATTAAAAAAAAAAGGGATTTTTCAATTGTGTTAGTACCAAGAGTCAATACTTTGTATTTTTGTACCCATCACAATAAGTGAAATGCAAATTTGAATTTGGCTTCACAACATATCAAATTTTGTATGAAACATCACAAGTACTTTGAATTTTAAAAAAAATTGCGATGTAGTTGATTATTTGTATTCTTACATGTCAGAATCATTGTTGAAATAGAATTTTGAATATCGGTAATGTAATTATAAATCCATTGCAGTTTTAAATTTTGAATTTTGCCTAATGTAATTATAAATCCATTGCAGTTTTAAATTTTGAAGTTCAGAGATTTGAAGTTTCCATCTACTTTTGTGGGTAGGAGGAAAATTATGAAATTGCCATTTGTGTAATTGTATTCACAGAGAGGGAGAGAAAGAAAAAATAGTCATGAATTTATTTTGTTCGGAAGGTGTGATATTTAATGAATGAAGTTAATTTTTACAGTCTGCTGGTTGCTGAATTTTTATTTCTTGAAAGTGATCGATATGCAAAGCTTTTGATTTTTTTTTTTACAACTTTGCTACATTTTGTTACATGTACATTTATGTGATTTGGTATAGCATGTGGCAATAATTGTTTTACATTTATGTTGTACAATAATTTCTGTTATAAAAAAATGAAACGAGAAATTTATAATCAGTGCTTCATAGGCAGATTCAGTTGTAGCTTTATTCTTTTTGATCCAATTTTCTTCTCTTCATGATTGTAATTAATGCTTTTGAAAAACCTATTTACCTGCAATTGCTGTCAATTATGTTTCAAATTATACTGTCATTTGTCATATAGTTTACATTTGTATTAATTTGTATTTGTTGTAGATGTATAAGATTATTTGGTGAGAGATTTTTTTTTCTTCTTCAGTTTTAGTTTAAAAAATGCTTTGCCTTCCAAATGTGTAACCCCCATTTATATTTGTTGCATTCAATTAGGCCTTATTAAGAATCATTTGATATTTTGTGAGCAGTGTGATTAAAGATCTAACAATTGCATCAGGAAAAAAATGTTTTTATTGTGTTCTGTTTTTTGTTTTGTTTGGAAGCTAGTGCAATTAAAATGGAAGTGAAATAACACTTCATAGGAGAGTTTGCTTGAATGGAAGCAGAAAAATCACAAAAATAATAGTGATGGTTTGATCAAATACAAAAAAGAGGGGGGTTGGGGATAAATAGCTAATAACCAGTCTAGTCTATCAACATATTCAAATTCATGGATGTTTCTTTTTTGTGAACCTAGTGAGAGCTATTCCAATAATCTCTTATTAATGAGTGAACTAAAATACTTGGAATCCATTCTGCATACATCATTTGTTGATATGTCGGGCAAGCCTCTGGCAAGCTTTCAGGTTGCCGTAGTATGCATACAATTTGAACATGTCAGTAAACTAGACTATTTGCATTCTGACTATTGAAATACGCATTTTGTACCAGTGAATGAAAACAATAGACCAGTTCCGGTTAGCACCTGTCCCAAATGACCCTGAATATCCACAGATCTCCAAAACACGAAGAGGTCCCACTTTGTACATTTTGAAATAATCACTCCAACAGCGATGGAGGTGCTACATGAATAGCCTTTGTTTCCCCTTTTCACAGAATACTTCCACCTGCATGTGTGTCATGGAGTGCACTGCATGTGCATAAATGAATAATGATTACCAGTACACAACTTTCATCCAGTATTTTGTCTCTGTGTATTTCACAATTTGTTCTGCAATGACATCTATCTGCTCATGCTCAGACTGCAACTATGAACTGGCTTATTGTAGGAGGCACTTCACAAAGGTGTACACATTATTAAATTTGGATTACAGTACAGAAAATGCCCTTTTTTATCGACACACCCCCACCCTCATGGCTGAGAGACAAACTGTTGCATTCATCTGTAACAAGTTGTTTGTATTTTGATGGTCAAGATCGCAGTTTGCGGACATTAGTTTTCGCTCTGTCAGGTAAGCCTCTTGCAAGGTTTTGGGTTGTATTGATAGTTATTGTTGTGAAGGCATGCTTGGTGGAGAATTTATGAAGTATGTTGTATAAACTGCAAGGAATAGGTGCTATACCACATACTCTGGACTGGATTGGATTGGAGTTTTTTAAGTGCGTGAATGTCATCTTGACAGATGCAATGGAAGTGATGCCTTATGCTACAGTCACAAAGGTTCGTACGAATGATAATTTTGTACAAATCTCTGTTTTTCCATTGTCTTCCCGAATTTCAATTGTCTGAAAATCGTTTGTACGGCGTTCGTAGCAGTTCGTAATGGCTTTTGTGACCAAGGCTTTAATTGTGAGGTGCTGGAATGAGAAATTTAGCTTGTGTCAAAATCCAACGTAATCCGCACTAATGTATATACAGTTAACAATTAAATTATTCATACCCTTACCAAGTTTTGTGATTTTTTTTAAGTAGGTGAACAATTGATTTGTCCGGATTTACGTTTCTTAAGAATGAATGAAGAAGCAATAAGAGTTTTAAATATTTAAAATTTTAAAAAATGGGACATATTAAAGCTTGCATCCAAAAATATTCAGCAAAGGCCCAATTTTAATCTGTCCACCTATCATTCATAAGTTACAAAATTCACAAAAACCACCAAATTTACAAGGGGTATGAATAATTTAGCTGTTAACTCTAGGGTATTTGAAGTTGAAACAACACAGGTAAGTTAATGAAACAAAAGATATCAATACTCGCAATACAATGTTGCTTAATTTATGTCATACTTTATTAAGCACACTAACAAAATTGAGTTGTGTATCTGAATTACATGCACATGAGGTACACATACATACATACTATAAATATTCTCTATATACAAAATATATACAAAAGGTATTGGACTGAATCGGATATGATAGAATGTCACTAACTTACTAGTATATGATCGTTATTGCCAAATACAATGAAGTATAATACTCTGGGGCGGTATTCTGAACATTGTTGTATCTTTTGTGTTATCTTTTGTTGTATCTTCCAGAGATAACACGGCGCTAATATTTTAAGTTGGTATTCTAAAACTCCTTTTATCCCTTGAAGGACCGCCTCTATCTTATCTATGACACATCCATTTGTATGGACTCTGCTACCAATCAAGATCTATCTTATATAAGCATGATAAGTAGGTCAACCAATAGGAGTACTTTATGCTACATCTTTGCGCATACTAATGTTTGACGTAATTAGATTTTACTTCATGAGTCTCGTAAAGAGACTAATTGAGAGCCCGCTTCACCCATGTGCAATCATTATCGCTTCAAGATCCAAGATTCAATTGAAGATAATTTATTGTCTGATTTAAAAAATACAGAAATTCGTCCTCCACTGGCGAGTGACGTATACAAACAACATAAACAATATATGAATACATTCAAAGATACAAATAAAATACAATAATAATAATAATAACAATAATAATAATAATGATTATTATTCCTCCGCCATTTTTGAAAGAGCAACTCTTTCAAGCAATCAAAATTTTAATGTGAAAAAACAATGATTTGTTTTTTCCGGCGGATTATTACAGATAAACTGTAAACTTACGTTTGTTTTACTTTTGGAACGAATTCAGAGTTTTTTTGGTTCATTTTTTGAGATTTCAATCTACCATTCGTCATGGCATCGGCCCCTCCTAAACCTGCGGAGACAGCGGGCAGAGACAAGGACCCTGACCCGGAACTTCCATGGGCTGTATTGCACCATGGGTCTAAGTACCCCGCGACTGCCATGCACAGACAACCAGACAACCACATCATGAACCCAAGAGTTCCGCGGGAGATCGAGATAAGAAGAAAGTGACTTTAAAATCAAGCAAAAAGGCTAAAGAAAAATCGTTGCCTGCTACTACTAGTAGTACTACAGTGAATTACGACACCCGCCTTTCTAATTTAGAGGAAATGTTGTTATCGTTTGAGCTTTCAAATATTGCACGCTTATTACGCGTCACCATCAATTAATTATCTGGCTAGTGCACGTGCAGTGTTGTTGCGCTGCGGTATGGTATATTGCTTTCACTTGGCTAGTTGTTAAGGTTCATTCACCATGATTATTAGAAGAAGAAGAAGAAGAAGATAGATGGTAACAAGCAAAAAGGAAACGAAAACTTTAGCAAAGAAGAGGTGATGGTGTTGGTGTCAGAGATATTGCCGCAAGGAAGGGTCTTATCATCGGTCCTTTATCCTCGACTAATAGAAGAAGAAGAAGATGGATGGCAACAAGCAAAAAAGAAATGAAAACTTTAGCAAAGAAGAGGTGATGGTGTTGGTGTCAGAGATATTGCCGCAAGGAAGGGTCTTATCGACTAATAGAAGAAGAAGAAGAAGATTGATGGCAAGCAAAAAAGAAACGAAAACTTTAGTAAGGAAGAGGTGATGGTGTTGGTGTCAGAGATATTGCCGCAAGGAAGGGTTTCGTCACTGGTCCTTTATCCTTGACTAATAGAAGAAGAAGAAGGAGATGGATGGCAAGCAAAAAAGAAACGAAAACTTCAGTAAAGAAGAGGTGATAGTGTTGGTGTCGGAGGTGGCTTCATGGAAGGGTATCATCATAGGTCCTTTATCCTCGACATTGATAAATCAAATGAAAAACACAGCGTTGGAGACGATCTGTGAAGTTGTAAGCAGGATAAGTGGCAGAAAGAACGTTTGGGATAGTAAAATATCTCATGTCTAGCCATTCCCAATTTCATTTCTGTGGCCAGTTTAATATTGAACTATGAGTGATAAGAAATATTTCAGTGCGATAACATTTTTTGTCTCGATTTCTCCATAGAACATGAATTTTGGAAGAGTAGGCTTTGGGCCTTTGTGACATAAATTTAGGCCAGAAAGTCACCAGTTCTCTTTCATCTATAGTTTGACATTTTATTCAATGAATATACAACAACTTGCAGTCATGAGTGTAACACTCCCCCCCCCCCCCCCCTTTCTTTCTCGACCTGTCTTGGACATGACATCGTGTCCTTGGAACTGGCATGGACACAAAGAACATTCGTAACTGTGTAAAGTTAATCGCAGGCTTGGTTGCCATGGTACACCCAATCAATTAGGATCATGGCTGCCATGCTAATGTTTGTTGCAGAAGAGGAGAGAAGGAGACAAATTCAAGGGGTATTTTGTGATCGCACTCATCCCCTGGAATTTGGGGATACTGAAAGGGACATCGAAAGAAAGTATAGGTCTACAAGAGAAGGATGTATGACCTTAATAGGGCCCAAATGGGATCGCAACACAGGACGAAGTAACTCACTACCAGGCCCACTGCAAAAGTTTAAACTTTTTTTTGCGACTGGTGCAGCTTTGGACGACACTGCTACCACACATGGCAATACTGCGTCCTACACCGTTCACCATGTTGCAGAAGTTCTTTGCGACACAAATTTACAACAGACATGGAGGGGGTTACAATTTGGATGTCGTTGACAAAAACTATCTGGTAGAGACAATAGCAGACCACATCAAGGTACTTGAGTGTAAAACTACCGACTACCTAGCAAACAAGAGGAAAGGAGAGGCTTGGGGGATTGTCTACGGCACAATCTGTGCACGATACGGGAAAAAACGAAGCCTTGATGAGCTAAAACAACAATGGAAGAAGCTGAAAGGGAGCGCAAAGAACGAGGTGAGGGATAACAGGAGAGCAGTATCCCTGACTCAAGGAGGACCACCCCCTCCTGGTGTGTCTCCCCTGTCCCTTACAATAAAAAACTTGCTTCCAAATGGGTTTGTTAGTATAATTAATCATTACGACAACGACTCTGAAATTGGAAACCGGGATGCAGTGAGTGTATTGCAGTTTCTTGCAGGAAACCCTCACAGGTGAGATAACTCATTGTTTCTCTGAAAATATTAGTGATGAAATAATAACGGAAATGCTCAGGAATAAACGGTAAAATGGCATGCTTTATTACATCCGTGCAGCGCTTGCAAGCCGGTACGTAAATGCACACACAACATTATCGAGATGGCTGCTCCGGCTGCTGTGTTAGCGTGGCTCGACGAAAAGAAAAGAAAGCCAAAGAGGGCAAGGTCCGGGCGACCTTTTGTTTCAGAGGAATTTCCGTCTGCCGTCGAAATTGCACGAAATTTCATTACATCGAGTGGATTCAAAGCCCACCGTTGCCGGCAGACGGAAGTGGGCACCGCATGTGGCGCAACCATCTTTAAAAGTTTGTTTAATAAAAAGACATTGTTAAGTTCAATATGAGTTCTGAGCTTGCTCATATAAGCCTCGTCTACCCCTTGAGGTACAGTTCATGGGGGAGAGGGGCCAGGATCTTGGAGGCCTCCGCAAGGAGTAGTTCCTTCATCTGGCCCTTCAGGAGGTTCATCAGAGACTGAAGCAAGGACCAGATGGGGAGAGGGTTCTTGTGACCAAGCAGGCTACCACATTTTGCGAGCAAAAGGCATTTCTGGCAGCTGGAATGCTCATGGGAATGCCTTGGGAGATAGAATCAAGGCCATACATTACAATGTAATTTGTGGCAGGAAACTGGCTGGGGTGGAGAGTACCAGGAAAACGGTAGTGGCTGCACGAGCTGGATGCAGGATTCAAGAAAGGTTTTATAGTTCAAAGAAAACATGCACTATAGAAAATGGTCCCCTATTGAGAATTTATTTTAATTATCCATAATTATATTTTGATAATGATATAGTTCAAACCACCCGAGACTGATTTTTTAGTTTTTACATCAGGTCTGTTTGTTTGTTTGTTTGATTGCTTTTTGGGGTAATTGTTACAGTGATTCGTATTTGATTATTGTTCTTTTAATGTTATACAATTATTTAATTCTTGTATGATTGTTGTTTTTGTAATGTTACAACAAAAAAATCGAAAATCAATAAAAATTTGAAGAAAAAAAAAGAAAAAAAAAAGGTTTTATAGTTGGTGGAGAAATGAAAATGATATCTATGCTGGCATAGGATATGTACAGAGAGGAGATGGAATAGAAACAATGACACCTTTACATAAGCTAGGATGTCAGTTAAGAAGACCATAGAGTATAAAGAATAGCCTACTCCAAGATAGGAAGAATCTGGTGCGATGCCGATAGTTGAAGGTTGAGCTTGCGGTAGAACTACCGTAACTATGGCTGCCATACTAGCTGTGTTTCAACGTCGTGGATATGAAAGGGCGAGGGGGAGGGAGCGGATCTTTAGGGATCGCAGCCAGCCCTTGGAGTTGGGAGACGGAGATATTTTCCGAAAGTATCGCTTCACACGGGATAGGTGCATCTATGTCATCGATTCAGTTTGGCCTCGATTAGAGCACGACACTCCCTTCGTTCAACTTTCAGAGAAAAAATTCAAGAAGAAGTACAGATTCCATAAAGAAGAAGTCAATATGCTGAATGGTGAAGATTTGGAGAGGAAGACATCGAGAAGCAAAGCCCTTAATAAGGAATTGCAAGTGTGCACTGCACTCAACGTCTTTGCCAAGGGCTCAATTTTTGATGAAATAGCAACAAACCATCGAGTAGATGTCGCAACAGTAAGCAGGAAATGCGATGAGTGGCTTGCGGTATAGAGCATCGTGAAATTATCAAGAAAATCATCAAGATTTTATATGCATCTCTAACGTAATCTGGTTAGCGCATGTACATCATCATCGGTAGTGGCACTATCTTTATCGGGATCATCAATCGTTTCAAAACTTGATGCAGAAGGTGGTAAGTATCTAGTAATACAGTTTCCGCAACCATAAAGCGATACAAAGAAATGTCATCCATTGAGGACAGGCCCCGGAGTGGGCGGCTGTCAAATTTAACGTCAGAGCATAAGGACTTTATCGACGAACAGTTAACAGCAAACAGGGAGTTAACGGCGAGAAATTTGGCTCGTTCACTCAAGGAAACTTTCCAAAAAGACTTTTTATGAGTCAAGTCAAACGAGCGAGATTGTCGCGATCGTGGGTTGCCACACGGACCCGGTATGGGCAGATGATCAGGACAACTAACAAAGCAGGCAGACTGGCCTTTGCCATCAACTGTATAGAGACCGGGGACGTCCTAGAGAAGGGTATTTTCACCAACGAAAGTATGTTTTACGTCGAGAATATAGGAACCTACCAGTTCCGGAAAAGAACGGAACAATCAAGGAAGCATGGCAAGCCGAAGCACCCCAGGTGGAGACTTGGCTAAGACGTCGGAATCCAGTTAAGACTCGATGTGCACCAGGACGTTATCAAGATTAATATGAACATTGGATGTTGGACTAACTTGTTTTTTTTTTTGTGGTTTCTGTGTGCTTCTATCTCCTCCACTTATAGATGTTACTTCTACGCAGCAAATGCAATCCGAATTCACTTCCCGGGCGGATTTAAATAAGCATATGAAGGAGGTCCATGAACTTGAACTAACGCTGAAATGCGAGACCTGTAGATACGAGGCCACCGAGGTGCAAAGATTCAGAAGAAACCTCTGCAGGACCCATCACCTCTCCAAAACTGACAGGATGGTGGTGGCCTTCTATGTGGTGTCAGACCATGATAACATGGAAAAGCAGCAGAACTTGAGAGAGGGGAACCCAAGAGGAGGAGAGGATAGGGGAAGAAATCACAAAGAAAGCAATGGAGGCAGAAAGAGATGCAAGACAGAAGAATAAGGACAGTAGCCCTTAATTTTCTTTTTATATCTGTGATTTAGCTATACCATGACTAGGGTCACTAGCCTGATTAAATCTTTAAGAAATGTAAAAGAGAACTTACTTTTTATGAAATAGGCATAACGGGTTGTTGTTTCGGTGATGAATGAAAGTAGTAAGATCAGCTGTGATTGTTTACTACAGCGATCAATGAGCGTTTTGGACTTCGCGCGTAGTGACGTCACAAACTTTTGGCCAATCACAATTGTGGGAGGTTGCAGATTTTTCCCAGACAACAAACGGCCCAGGGCCCAAAGGGATGGAAAATGTCATAAATTTTAGACTGCATCCCAAATTCTAGATTGCCAGACGGCCCAGCAAGTTCTATCCAAGTTCATTCCAAGTTCAATCCAAGTTCATTCCCTATTCCATCTCCTTTCCAGACAGAAGAAGAGCGAGTTAAAAAATATTTCTAATATTCATCTCTTGTTATTTGATTGTTATATATCAATTCCTATTTTATATAGGTGGAAATTTAGAGAATTTATCTACAAAGAATTTTAATGTAGAATCTATTCAGGGTTAAACCTGACTCAGTATTTGTATTCAATTTTTTGATCAATTGCTTGATGGAGTGAGAGTTATTATTGAATGTCATTATTCGCTTGCTGATTTTACAAAGTATGCGGTACACAAAAGAACTAAAGCAGAGTTTTTCTATTCCCTTCTATTTATTATGAAGCATCCTAAGGAAGTGAAGGAAAAAGGAGTGACATAGTCATTTAAGGGTACTGTTGTTGGAGACTCTCCAAGTAACAATCTCGAATAGAGAACGTTACAGTGGCTATGGAAACTTTCTTCAGATGTTTATCTAACCTGCAACAGTGACAATCTCGAATGGAGAGCGTTACAAACTTAGACCCTTTTGGAAGTACACTGAGCAGGATACAGTGACAATCTTGAACAAAGAACGTCACATTAACTTCAAAGGACATCGAGGTCCACTTTTCTTCTCATTCAATCCTGACCAAGGAACTAACGTTATTGATCGAGACTGTGAGCCTACCTTACGAGTGACAACAAGTGACCAGCCTACCTTTTTAATTACCCTTTAACCCTTACTGTACTGGGGGGGGGGCCTGGGAGGCCCCCCCCTCGACATTTTCGGAGTTTGCGCCGCAACCGCTTGGAATTTTGAATTGTCGTTTCATGACTTTTTTCCCTCAAGTCTCACGCACATTTTGATACCATTTTCGTCGAAATCGGATATACCTGTAAGGCGTTACATAACAATTAGTATGCGCATGTCATCAAAAAAAAAAAAAAAAAAAAAAATTGCATCAAAATTTGCATAAATTATCATTATTAATTACATTAAATTAACTTTTTTGAGTTAAAAAAGAAGTTTCATATGAATAATGAGTTTCAACATTCAAAAAGTGGAGTTTGAAACGTTTTCTGTAAAATGCATAAAATTAGCATTTTTGCATAATTAATTAGGCTAACGACAAAAATTTGCATATTCGGAAAAAACTAATTATACCATCTTGTTCCTTACGTAAATATCTACAAACGTGCAAATTTTCGTGTTCATCGGACAATCGACGGCCGAGATCATAGGGGGGGGCCTCCCAGGCCCCCCCCAGTCAGTGGGTGCTCAAAATAGCCCAGTACAGTAAGGGTTAAATTTCCTGTTTCGGTAACTTATTTATTGACCGCAACGGCATTTGTATTTTTTACTTCTACCATAGAATATTGTTGACAGTTGAAAGCTTTATAAAAAAGACTTTGTTAGTTGAATGCCAAATTTAATTTACAGTGACTAATTAGTCTTGACAACCAAAATGGCAGCACTGTGGGAGATGTTAGGTGGTGCTGCTCTCCGGAGAGAACGAGTGTTCAGAGACCGCTCGAACCCGCTGGACCTCTATGATGATGTCGACATGTTCAAGAAATACAGGTTCAATAGAGAAGGACTTATTTTCCTAATCAACGAACTACAGCATAACCTAGAGCGTACCACAAAGAGAAGCAAGGCTCTACCTGCCTCCCTGCAACTCTTTGTGGCATTGCGTTTCTTCGCCACTGGAAGCGTGTTGGACAGTGCAGCGACCATCCATGGATGCAGCAATGCCACTGTATCGAGAGTGGTCAGACGGGTGGCGGTTGCCATCGTCGAAAAACAAGACGAAGTAAGTATTGCTAATTATCAGGGGTGATCGTTAGCACTAAAAAAAAAAATAAGTTTTTTGTTTTCCCCTCAACCCACCCCCCTCGAGTAAAAAAAGGGGGGGGGATTCGCGGGGAAAAAATGGCATCTAACAACAACATTCCCCCCTTTCGAGTAAGAAAATTAGGACAAAATTAGGTAAATTGGGAAAAAAATAGAGCAAAATAGGGAAGAATAGAGAAAATAAGAGGGAAAGCGGGAAAATCAGGATAAAATATGGAAGAAGAAAGAAAGAAAAAAAAAAAAAAAAATCTGGATTTTTTTTTTTTTTTTAAATCGGGAAGAAAAAAAAATCGGGAAAAAATTGGGAAACCGATTTAAATCGGGTATTTATCAGGCCTGAATTATGCATTTAAAAGATGAATTGACTTGAGCTTGAAGTCCTATGACAATTAGACCCGATGCCATGGCAATATCATCATGATCAAGACTGAATGAATAAGAAAAGAGTCAGAGTAGGCTAGAGCTGGAGCCTAAATTACAATTAAATTTTTTATTTTTTATTTTTGAATAAATTTTAACTAGATTCTTTTCTTTTTCACTGATTTTAGACTATGTGAACCTCTTAATCAGTCAAATATTATTTGATCTTAACTCTTCCTCACTAAAAGAATTGAAGGATTTAGTATCAAGAGTGTATACTGACATCAAACCAAGGACTATTTCGAGACTTGTTTCAAGGTTTTTGGAAACTGGCACCTACAACTACCGGCCAAATAGTGAAAGAAGGAAGAGATTCTGTGAGGTCCACAAAGAATTCTTAAACGAAAGCCTCGTCAACAACGACGACGTCCAAACTTCATAATCTCCTTCAGTCAGAAATCGACACTAATTTTAGTCTTCCAATTCTCAGGAGGCACCTTGGGGAGACTTGGTTGGATGTGTACGAGAACTAAATACGGGCAACTCATCCGAAAGTGCCTAGTACTTACTTGCTTGCTTGAGACTAGTACAGGGTTACATCTCTCTCTCTCTCTATACTCAAGGTCAGTATCTGAGACAGTAGAGGGAGTGTTTTGTGGCCCCTCTTGGGGGTATTTTGCTTCTAAATTGCAACTCATTATAATGTTATTAATTCAATTATATTATACCTAGTACAGGGTTACATCTCTCTTTACTCAAGGTCAGTATCTGAGACAGGAGTTCCAGTACACCTGGCCTTTGTCGAGGGATTGATTTGTAGCCCCTGTTGAGGATATTTGGCTAACAAATTTGTAACTAAAAGATTCATTAAATTTCATGAATTCTATTGAAACTGCAGTGTGCCCTGCACCAATAGTATTCATGCTACACGTCAACATGCAATTGATGCAGTGGAATCTTAAATAATATCTGAAATTCACTTTTTTAATAATTTCTTTATTTATTCATGGCATGTCATGTCATGACTGGATACTGGGAGAGAATAAATGCTTGAGAATTTGAATGCGGAATGGTAGACAGAGGCAGTGGACCTGGTTGCTTCATGAGCCTGTGAAAAACTGATCGTTGCAGAGGAACTTGCAGCTCTCAGTACGACCATAATACTGAAATATGAATTTCTGGAAGAGGAGGCTGAGAGGAGACTAGCTTGGTTGTGCACAAGAACTAAATACGGGCAACTGATAAGAAAAAACAATCGTGCAGCCAGACTTGCTTTCGCTATCACTACAATCGAAAGCGAAGTCGACTTCAGGAACGTAATATTCACTGATGAGTGCACAGTCTATCTTGAAAATGACAGCTCAATTCACTTTCGTCGTGCTAATGAGCAAGCGAAGAAGAAGGGGAAACCCAAACACCAGGCAAAGGTAAGTGTACAAATGCAATACTCCCTACTACTAGCGAAATCAAATAGTATGAAAGTTTATGAATAATTGTGTGTACATGTAATATTCGCGTGGTTAAATTATGGGCACATGATAGTGCGCTGATATACACGACAGCCAAGATTGATTGATGTGGATGTACACTTTGTCATTAGCTGAGCTGTGTACCTGAACTGTCTGTGAACTTGCTACGCTGAGATTTACGATTATATCTACTGCGTGACATAATACTTCAACACAAATTTCTGGAAGAGGCTAAGAGCATCAGTGACGTAGTCTGTCAACTGTGCCTATAGTAGTTTATCAATATTTGTGAGAGAGAATAAATGCTTGAGACTTTGAATGCGGAATGGTAGACAGAGGCAGTGGACCTGGTTGCTTCATGAGCCTGTGAAAAACTGATCCTTGCAGAGGAACTTGCAGCACTCAGTACGACCATAATACTGAAATATGAATTTCTGGAAGAGGAGGCTGAGAGGAGACTACATCTAGGTTGGTTGTGTATGAGAACTAAATACGGGCAGCTTATCCGAAAGAACAACCATGCAGCCAGACTTGATTTCGCTATTACTACCATTGCGAACAAAGTTGACTTTAGGATCGTCATATTCACTGATGAATGTACCGTGTATTTAGAAAACGACAGCTCAATCCACTTTCGTCGTGCTAACAAGCAAGCGAAGAAGAAGGGGAAACCCAAGCATCAGACGAAGATAAGGTGGAAAGAAAACAACGAATGACGAGAACCTGCCTCATATGTAAGGCCACAACTGATCACATCACACGGCATTGGATCCGGAAGCACCAGGACCTTGGGGAGGCAGCCAAGACAAGTTAGCGATAAGTAGGAATTACAATTTGAGGCTATATCCTATCGTAGAGACCTTGGTTTAAAAGTCGCATGGATATAGCCGACAAATTGAGCTAGCATGTTAGACTAGGGAGTGGATAGACCCGTGAGGAAAACACCCGGTGACTCTGAAGGTACGGTAGATTATGCTATTTGCAATAAGAAGATAGGACAGTTGAGTATTCCAACTCAAAGTTGGAATGGAGTGATTATGAGAGGGCTGCTGGCAGCCTAGATTGACAGTCATTGATAATTATTACAGAGAAAGAGAAATTGCAATTTCTTATCAACATATTTTTCATCTTGATTTCCAGGTTCTTTTCCGACTTGACCCCACCCCTCTACTTTCTAATCTCTCGCGGGAAATTTGAACGAAAAAACCTTTAAACGTGGTTTAACTCAAAGGAAGGCCTCTCTCAAGCTACGGTGTCCCGACTAGTAAAGGCTATTTCAATAGCGATTGCGACAAGAAAAGATGAATACATTTCATTTCCCTCGACAAGAGAGGCGGTCCTGGAGACCCAACAGGAAATTTTTAACTACTGCAATTTCCCTGGTGTTGTCGGGGCAATTGATGGCACACACAGTTATCTCCCAGCCAGTCAGCTCCAAAACAAATGAACAATCAAGGAAGAAGGGAAGCCAAAGTCAACATATGGGATGGAGTAAACCGACGGGGGGCAACAAAACTCCTGATCTTTGACGGTATCATGAGGTAGGAATAATTCATCGAGGAGATACTAAAAAACTCTTTTCCTCTAATTCGAGCAAAATATACGAACATAAAAGGGGCAACGAAACTCCTGATCTTTGATGGTATTATGAGGAAGGAATTCTTCATTGAGGAGATAATAAAAAACTCTTTCCTCTAAATTTAGAGCAAAATATCTGAACATAAAAGGGGCAACAAAACTCACAATATTTGAGGTTATCATGAGGTATGCATAATTCTTTGAGATACTAAAAAACACTTTCCTCCAATTCACTAGCATAATATCTGAATGTAAAATCATATTTTTCATGCATGTTTCTCTCCTTATGCCATGTCCCTTTTTTTCTCCTAAAAATGCAGGCAGCTTGAGTTATAACTCGAGCTGATGAGACGGAAGTGATCGAGGAATTTCATGTGGAGAAGAGGCCAGGGGAGGTATCCGTCACAACTCTCCTACCAGGGAGGGAGGCATTATCCAGCATGTTGGGGAATCTTAACAAACTATCCCCAGTAACTCTCTGAGGGAATCACCATCCCAACTCAAGCATCTACATCTACATGTAACTACCTGTCTCAGCTCCTATCTACATCCCACTTTGAATTGCTCAACTACCTGTCTCAGCCCCCATCGACCAGCCTCGGCTCCCATCTATACGTACATCTACAGCCTCCATCTACCAGCCTCAGCTCCAATCTACATCTACAGCCTCCATCTACCAGCCTCAGCTCCAATCTACATCTACAGCCCCCAACTACCAGCCTCGGCTCCAATCTACATCTACAGCCCCCATCTACCAGCCTCAGCTCCAATCTACATCTACAGCCCCCAACTACCAGCCTCGGCTCCAATCTACATCTACAGCCCCCAACTACCAGCCTCAGCTCCAATCTACATCTACAGCCTCCATCTACCAGCCTCAGCTCCAATCTACATCTACAGCCTCCATCTACCAGCCTCAGCTCCAATCTACATCTACAGCCCCCAACTACCAGCCTCGGCTCCAATCTACATCTACAGCCCCCATCTACCAGCCTCAGCTCCAATCTACATCTACAGCCCCCAACTACCAGCCTCGGCTCCAATCTACATCTACAGCCCCCAACTACCAGCCTCAGCTCCAATCTACATCTACAGCCTCCATCTACCAGCCTCAGCTCCAATCTACATCTACAGCCCCCATCTACCAGCCTCGGCTCCAATCTACATCTACAGCCTCCATCTACCAGCCTCAGCTCCAATCTACATCTACAGCCTCCATCTACCAGCCTCAGCTCCAATCTACATCTACAGCCCCCATCTACCAGCCTCAGCTCCAATCTACATCTACAGCCTCCATCTACCAGCCTCAGCTCCAATCTACATCTACAGCCCCCATCTACCAGCCTCAACTCCAATCTACATCTACAGCCTCCATCTACCAGCCTCAGCTCCAATCTACATCTACAGCCCCCAACTACCAGCCTCAACTCCAATCTACATCTACAGCCTCCATCTACCATCCTCAGCTCCAATCTACATCTACAGCCTCCATCTACCATCCTCAGCTCCAATCTACATCTACAGCCTCCATCTACCAGCCTCAGCTCCAATCTACATCTACAGCCTCCATCTACCAGCCTCAGCTCCAATCTACATCTACAGCCTCCATCTACCATCCTCAGCTCCAATCTACATCTACAGCCTCCATCTACCATCCTCAGCTCCAATCTACATCTACAGCCCCCATCTACCAGCCCCCATCTACCAGCCTCAACTCCAATCTACCAGCCCCCATCTACCAGCCTCAGCCCCCATCAACCTCCCAACTGGGAATGAGAATTGCCTAACTACCTATCTCAGCTTCTCCTTGTGCCCCATCCATACCTCCCAATCCGATCCCTACACCCATCTTCCCTGACCCTCTAGCTCGTGAACCGCAAGCTCCTGAACCTATCGTCTCACGAGTAGTTCGAGAGGTGAGGGAGCACTTGGACGCTGCCTCGCGTAAGTTGGCGAGCCTAGAGCATCTTCTCACAAGTCCCGATCATGATTTTAATCGAACCCTACCCATTGCTGACAACTCTTGTGGGGGAGTTCCCTCAAGCCTAAAGCGAGAGCTTCTGAGCTATAATGATAGTGGGAAGATCGCCTGTAAATTGGACGAAGAGCGTATAAATAGAAATGTAATGGGGAGAAGGGGAAGGAGGGGTTAGACCCGTTGAGAGTAGCTAAATAAGGACTATAGTTTGTTCATACACTAAGGAACATCCTAATTTTGAGAGGACGGAGTGGGCATACGGGCATTCCGTTAGATGGACGAGGCCACCCGTGCCCCCTTTAGTATATCCTAATATGTACAGAGAGGAGATGGAATAGAAACAGAGACACCTTTATATTAGCTAGGAATGTAAGTTCAGAAGACCGTAGAGTATAAAGAATAGGCCTACAGGAGGGGTTTTCAGGACCAAAGGCATCCCGTGCACCAAGCAGTGATGAACAAATGTGCAAGTTGTATAGGTTCAGCAAGCAGAGATGCCTTCACCTGATAAACCGATTATCAGCGAGAATTACCGACAGAACGCAGACCGAGACGTACTTCGAGTTACAACCCAGTCTGCAAGTTTTTGTTGCTCTACGTTTCTTTGCCACTGGCTCTGTCATGGATTGCACCAACTGCATCCATGGCATCCACATATTAACAACATCGTGGACAATACGGATAGAGTGACTCTAGCCCTCTATAGATTGAGGAGCACAAAACGGCCTCATCTGCAGGGACGGCCAAGGTGTTCCTGTCCAAGGATGAGTATGTCCTCCTACAAAACTACATCAAATATGCTTGACCCTACACACCTGGGTACAAGGGCACAAACAGCCCGGAGGTAGGAATAATTCATTGAGGAGAAACTAAAAAACTCTTTCCTCTAATTTGCTAGAGCAAAATATACAAACATAATTTAAAATTTTCATGCATGTTTCTCTCCTTATACATTGTCCCTTTTTTTCTTCAAAAAAGAAAGGAATGCAGCTCGAGCTATAACTTGAGCTGATGAGACAGAAGTGGTGGAAGAATTTGAAGTGGAGCAGACACAAGGGGAGATAACTCCAACATCCATGGCGAAAGGGAGAGAGGCACTAGTAAGCATGATGGGGGATCTAACCAAACTACCCTGGTATCTCTCCGAGGGAATCACCATCCCAACTCAAGCATCTACGTCTACAGCCTCAGCCCCCATCTACCAGCCTCAGCTCTTATCTATGTCCAACTCCCTCCTTGTGCCCCATCCATACCCCCCAATCAGATCCCTACACCCATCTTCCCTGACCCTCTAGCTCGTGAACCGCAAGCTCCTGAACCTATCGTCTCGTGATTAAATCAAGAGGTGAGAGAGCACCTGGATGCTGCCTCGCGTAAGTTGGCGAGCCTGGAGCGTCTACTCACGAGTACTCCCGATCGTGATTTCGATCAACCCCCATCCATCACTGAAAACTCTTGCTGGGAACTTCCTACAAGTCTGAAGCGAGAGCTTCTTAATTGCAACGACAGTGGGAAGATCGCCTGTAAATTGGTCTCACATTTTTTTAACAGACAAGGGCGTATTAAAAAAAATTTGATGGGGCAATCAATTATGGTAAGCTTTCATATCAAGATGGCTGCCATATTGCATGCCATACAGCATGCCGCAGCTCTTAGGAGAGAGAGGGTATTTCGCGACCAAAGGCATCCCTTGGACCTATACAGTGATGAACAAATGTGCAAGTTGTATAGGTTCAGCAGGCAGGGATGCCTCCACCTGATTAACAGGTTATCCGGAAGGATCACACATAGAACCCGGAGAAACTATGCATTACCCACTGGCCACTGGCTCTGTCATGGATTGCACTAGCTGCATCCATGGCATCCACATCTCCACCACATCCAGAACGGTACGGTTAGAGCGACTGCAGCCCTCTGCGAATTCAAAAAAAAGTACAGATTCCATGAGGATGAGGTGAGGAGAAATTCACAATAAATGGTGAAGATCTGGAGAGAAAGACTTCAAGGAGCAAATTAGCCCTGAACAAGAAAGTGCAAGTATGTTATAGCTTTAAACTTTTACGCCAAGGGATCAATATTTGACGAGATAGCAACAAACCATCGTGTAGATGTCGCCACGGTAAGCTGCTGTGTGCACTGTGGGGCACAAGCTCTATGCAACATCAAGAAAGATGTTAGTATTCATTTTGATGATAATAAATTTTTAATAATCACAACAAAAAAATAACATCCAAGAGCTGCTAAATCTCTCTTGAACCAAGGCATATGTCAATAAGGCTTTACTTGGTGAGTTATTTTATATATTGTTTAGAATAAATTCTTTTCCATATTTCATCATCGGGATCTGATGTCGTGGATGAAAGAACATGGGATGGAGGACACAGCTATTCAAGCAACATTCGACTCCGTCAATGGAAATGCGTACGTTATACTTTCAAATCAAAATGAAAACTGGTGGTAAACAATCTGGCAGAAGACACATCCAAGAGTTGCGAAAGGTGTTGCAAATTCCTTAGAACAATCTAGTTTAGGATGCACTGAACGAGCGACTAGTTTTACAAGTAGCATGTGCTCCTGTTGATAAACAGTGCTTAATTTATTCTACTTATTGATTGATAATTGAATATTCATGTATAATTCATTAGTTTAAGGCGCGATCCAAGGTGCGCAGCCAATCATATGGTTGTATATGCGCGTACAGCTTTCTTTTCCATGCGCGACCCCAGGAGTATAAATAGGCCGTGCATGGGTTACTGGGTCACCCAGGTACGTGACTGACAATTTTTGCAGGCTATTACGCGACTGACAGTTTTTGCAGGCTACCGTATTACGCGAAACTGCATGATTAGCTATGTACTCTTACATGATGGCAACCACTTACTTTTGGTTTTCTTCTTGAGTAGAAGACCTGCTGGACAAGGAAGCACTCCAGCGATTCCTACGTCAGCTTGAGACGATTTGTTATTAATGGAAATTATCGACTATTTAAAGAACAAATTAGGAAAGGAGAAAGGCAATGGGAGAATGTGCTGTCCGTGCTAAACTACAGCATGGTGCATGTATTGTATGGGGGTGCAGCGCGCCATGCAGTCATTGCAAATCTCAAAATAGCCGATGTACAGGAGCGTGTTGAACACGAGGACCAAGTTCTCTTAAAGGTTTGTACGGTTATTCAGTTCAGCTGAAAGAAGATTACCCCAACATTTACACAAAGGTTGAGGAGCACAAAACTGCCTCATCAGCAGGGGCGGCGAAGGTATTCCTAACCAAGGAAGAGTTCAAACTCTTGACTGATTACATCAAGTATGCTAGACCATGTACACCTAGATACAAGGGTACGAACAGCCCGGAGGAGGCAGTTTTCCTCCAGAAAAACAGAGAAGGCATCGAGAATGTCTCCCGAGTGATCCAGCGGCTGTGGACCTCTACAGGCTTTGAGGGTAAATTTAATGCCACGATGCTAAGGAAGACCATTGTAACAATGGTAGGACAAAAAATGATAAAAACACATATACTTATTCTTTACCGACAGGTGATCAAATTCCCTGAAACAATGCGAGAGGTGAGATCAACACAGGTTGAACCTTGCTGGAATATAACAAAACTTCTTTTAAGAGCTACCATGTTGTACTTTCTGCCATGAACATGTGCTACAGTTTCACTTATTGTCATACTTTTTTTAAATTTTGCCTTTGATAATGCTGAAATATTGCTGGAATGCCGAACGTTGTTGGAGCAGTTGATGGCACACATGTTCAACTGCATGGGGCTCCTCTTGACAATGAACTAATCGCAAGGGGAAGCACTCCATAAACGTGCAGCTTATTTGTAATGCGAGGTACAGGATCACAAATGTGGTGGCAAGATGGCCTGGGAGCACTCATGACAGCAGAATATTGAGGGTTTGTGGCGGCTTTATCAGCATCTCTGATCACTGAGCTGAGTCAAACGAGCATGGTTCTCACGATTGTGGGTCGCCACACGCACTCGGTACGGGTAGATGATTAGAAAGACAAATAAAGCAGGCAGACTGGCATTTGTCATTAACTGCATAGAGTCCGGCGACATGCTAAAAACGGTGTTTTCACCGACGAGAATGCGTTCGACGTGAAGAGCATTGCGACGTACCAGTTCCGGGAACGACTGAACATCGAGGAAGAGTGGCAAGCCGAAACATCCCGCCAAAGTCAACGTGTGGGGTGGAGTAAGCAGGGGGGGGGGGGGGGGGGGGGGGGGGCAACAAAACTACTCATCTTTGAGGAAGGCGAGCCGAGCCGAACTGGTGCGTGTTTTGTAAGAACAGATTGAAGATTGTACATTAGAGTCATGTAGTTTTTAACTGCCTTTTAATTTTCACTTTTTGTGGTACTTTCTTGGAACTTATGGCATAAAAACTCATCTATGTGGCTGATTAAGGTTTGTAATTGCTAAAGAATGCTATTTTATGGATGATTTTATTAAGATTGCATAGATATTAGTGGATTCTTTTGGTTCATCCAGGCAAGAATTGTAGTTGATGATGCAGACTGGTCCCATATACATATAATCTTGACATCTAAAGTGTATGGGGATATTAATCCATGGACGATAAATCGCATCATTGAACATTTTTTGGAGACAGGAAGTTACAACAGAGTTAAAAGCGGCAGGAAGAAAAACTTCTCTGAAAATCATGAAGACTTTCTGAATGAAACCCTCACCCAGAACAACGAGTGTAATGCTACGAAGTTGCAGTATCTTTTGAATTCCGAATTAGGAGCAATCTTCAGTAGGCCGACGATTAGAAGGCACCGGAAGAAACTCTACTGGTTGTGTACCAGAACTAAATACGGCCAGTTAATAAGAAAGAACAATGGGGATGCAAGACTTGCCTATGTCATCACAGCATTAGAGAAGGATCAACTTCAATGACGTTATCTTTGCTGACGAAGGCACTGTCTACCTGGAAAAAAGTAGCTCTATTCACTTTCGTTATTTTAACTGTTCTGTATAAAGTTAAACGTTATGCTTTTTGATGTAAACATGTTCATGTTTATTCAGGGTTCCATGGAAGACCACTATTTATTGGTGAAAGGGCTACCCTCACAAAAGATTAGAAATAAATAAATAAATAAATAGGAAAATAGACTAGAAAACAAACGAAGCAAAGATTTTACAAAGGAGTTTTTCCAGTCTGCTTAAATATACATGTCGGAAAAATGGCCGACATAATGGAAGAAGCTGCAGGCAGAGGTCTCCGGCGAGAGAGAGTTCTTAGGGATAGGGCCAATCCCTTGGATGCCTACTGCGACTCCGAGCTTCAAAAGAGGTATCGGTTCTCTCGTCAGGGATGCATCTACCTTATACATCTCCTCCGTGTTGACCTAGAGCATCCAACAGGAAGATCTAGGGCCATCCCTGCTTCCTTGCAAATATTTCTCGCACTCGCCTTTTTCGCATTGGGAGCCCTTTTAACGACTATAGGAACAATGCATGGGGTCAGCATTGCCTCGACTTCAAGGGTCATACGTCGGGTTACAAGGCCGTTTAGAACGGCAAAGATACATGTTAGGTTGCTGTTAGATTTGATGTCCATCAAAAAGCAAGTAGCCTACGACAAGAACAATGATTGCAACTCTGGTTTCACGAACAGAGGCATCCCTGCAACAAAGGACGAAATACGAGAAGCCACAACGCACACTTTAACTTCCATGGTAGTGGCAATGAACGTGCAAATAAAGCTCACAGTTGGCTATTTTCTCATGAAGAAGTTGTCAGCACCTTTTCAGGCTGATGAAGCCCTCTGGGCAAAAATTCAAAGTTTTAGACCCTTTTCAACTTGTTGCATTTTCTGAAGTTTTCCGAGGCAGATTACTAATTTTGCAACCTTTTCAGGCTAGCCCGATAAAGGAGTGCTTACAAATTTATCACGAGAATGCCATCCAAATTGCTTCTATGGTTTCTGTACCATGCACTGAAGGTATTCCATGAATGTATATTGGTGCACGATGCACTTTAAGTAAAGTAGGTCCATTGTACCCCTCTATCTTGTTTACAAAATCCCAGACACTCCGCCATCATAAAACCCGTAGTGCCTGACCTTGCACCTGAATGGGTAAACTTTATATAATAAAAATGAAAACAACACGTATGAAATAAAAGGGATTTGGGGGTTGGTAAGGCTGATAATTTGATACATTTTCAAAATAATATATGGTGTTTAAAAAATAACTGCAAGGAAAGATAATCGTTCGTTCGTGTCTCCTTAGATCAAGATTAATGTAATCTTGATCTTCGGAGTAGTTGCTACAACCGGCCGTGTCAGACACGTTGCCCCGGGGTGCGAGATAGGACTCTTGTAACGTGCCCCCATTTAAAACAATTATACAATAACAGTTAACATTACATTTAATTAATAGTATGAAACTATTAAAATTACTCTCAGTAATACTAGAGAAGGACGCACGGTCTATTCCTACCACCGATACACGCAAACAACTCTACCCCTCAACCCGCCTCGGAATCAACAATTAATGACATTCGTGTAGTGGAGACATCTGCCAACGACGGGGATGAGGAGATCCTAGTAAGAGTAATAAATTCAGGAATCAGCCGACTTGTAATAAGGACAATGACAATTGTAACGGAGCGTTGTAATTATGTTGGTGACAGGGAACGACGGGGGGAAATTCAAACTAGGACATACTATTTTGGGAATGAGGAATAATTGGTTATATTGTTGTTATTGTGCAAAGATGCTGTAAATAATGATAGAATATGTATTTCAGCTACTGGTTGATAATGAGAACTATGAACTAATAAGGCCAATAGAGAGCTGAAAGGGACACGGTTCTTACACTTACAGAGATAATGACTAGCTAATTATGTATCACTGGCCAGTGTTACAGGATCATGTTTGGTGAAACATCAACGAAAGCATCACTCGAGGACATTCAAAAACGTGCCACAAAAAATTTGGCAGGTCAGCACAAAAAGTGGAATGGCAGATGGCAGTCCTTAGGGAGAAAAACACAGAGCTGGCAAAGCAGAACTATGAACTTAAGAAGGCTAAAAGATTTAAGCCTGCTGGTTTTATCGACAGTTGTGAACACATGCATGATTTGTGAACGTCAATTCAAGGGCGCTAGAGGCGTGAGGATACATCAAGCAAAGACGGACTGTGGTGAGTTTGCCACAAAAATCGGCAGGTCAGCACAAAAAGTAGAATGGCAGATGGCAGTCCTTAGGGAGAAAAACACAGAGCAGGCAAAGCAGAACTATGAACTAAACAAGGCCAATAGAGAGCTGAAAGGGAGACTGGAAGAAACAAAAGTGAATCTGAGAGCATCTCAAAGAGGTTTCTCTGAGCTCTTCGAGTTGGGAGAGAATGGCTCTGATACAGATGAACCAGACTCGAGAAAAAGAAAACCAGATGAGAACGACTCCAACCGACAGGCAGGCAGCTCTCGGGAGTTGTAATATCATTTTGTATGCGTGTGTGTTTGTGTATTCATTCGGCAAACGATTGAACCCGCATGCGGATGCAAAATGAAAACAACACAGGTGGAGCTTGCCGATTGCGCTCAAGTAGCGCTGCAGCTAAGCAACATACGTACGCTTGCATATCTGGCGATGCAGCTGTTTAGCAAAATTTATAACTCGGCGAGTACGTCTTTTTAGTCGATTCTGAACAAAAATTTGATGAATATTACCCAGATATTTGGCGGACTGTATCTTTTGATAGAAATATCGGTAACTTGAAATTTGAAATGTGTTCTTCTGAGTGGATATTTTTCAATTATCCAACCATGGTGAAAAAAAAACCAAAAAGGGAAATTGAAAAATCATTCCGACACCCTTATTTGATTTTGATTTGAGGTTTTGTTTACATCCCTATTCATGCAGGCAAATGGGTGTCAATCAAGGCTTTGAGATATCAATATCATATTTCATAAATTATTACCAAGCCCTTTAATTGGCCTTAGGCATATTACAACCTTAAAACTATCACTCTCAGAGGTGACAATACCATGTATAAGAACATTAGAAATTTGGACTCTTGGTAAGAAGAGGGTTAACAATCCCTCAGCATTGGAACATAGCATAAATACTGCCACATCCTGTACTATAGACTACATTGCACATACATGTTCTTGCCACTTGTTGGTTTTTATCTGATCCAATTGGCTAACATGCCACAACAGATGTGCCAATCGACTACCGCGGCTTCTACAACAATAACCCTATCACTATCAGAGATGACAATACCATGTATAGAGTAAATTGTATTCTGGGCATGTTGGCAGGACAAGGGTTAACGTATCTCTCTGATTCTTCAGGGTCCTGATGGAGGTCGATGACCAGGCTCCCACTTGGGGTGAGGATGACGTTGTCATAGTCAAAGTCAGGATCGATGCTGAATGGCTGGACATCGTCGGCCTGAGGCACCTGGCATTGGAAAGAGACGGTGAACAAGAGTTAGTCTGAATACAGTGTAACCTGTTCATACAAATCAATCCAAAACTATTTATTGATATTTTAATCAAGTTTGTATCAACATCAAAATATTTCATTTCCAAAACATCTCAGATTTAATTTCTGCTAATAAAACTATCCTTTATTATAAATAACTGTTCAGCAAAGACTACCGTGATTAACGGTGTATTAACCACACTTTTTTTGCCGCGGAAAAAATTCAAAGTCGGGGGTGCGTCTTATACACTGGACATACATATAGCCTCATAGTAAATTATTGTCTTATTCACATGACTGGCAATGTCTCACAGCTCAGTAATCAGTGTTGACTCACCACTCGGAAACTAAAACAACACTCAAATTTTTCTGTCATCTTGGTTTGAAAGTAATCTTTCTGATAGATCTCAATATGTAGTTTATAATAATAATTCCAATTTTTCTTCTATTACACGGCGTACCACAAGGTTCTATCCTAGGTCCTCTACTGTTTTTTAATTTACATTAATGATCTTACACATTCAGCTGCACCTCGCACTTAAATGAAAGGCCTTCCCGCGTGGGTTTTTTAACACGGACCTGGCTTGCTGCCGACAGCAAGGGCGAAAGGGCGAAAAAGAGGGGTGCGGTTAATACACGAGGGCGGTTTATACACCGTTAATTACCTCAGAGTCTGTGATATTTTCAGCTATTCTGTCATTTCCCGATGGTGAATAGGTCCCAGTAGAACTAGGGAGCCGAGTTATGTGAACGCTCTGGCCAGGACTGGAGCTTACTTCATCTTCAGCCTCAACCTCACCCGGGTAAAGATCGGGTAGGGACAAACTCTCTCCTGATTCTGCAGGATACAAAATAGGATATAACATAATAATAATAATCTGGATTTATAAAGCACTAAATACGGAATACCGTCTCGAAGTTACGAAGCGCTTTACTACCCCAGCCATCAGATGCATTCACGCACAATGTGCACCATCTCCACTCCCTGGGGAGTATTCCTACCATATGGTCACCGTGAGGGCATAGACAATTACTAACACGAATGCTTTCTTCATCATACACCCTGTATCTTGGGTACTGAGTGGCAAATGTAGATTAATGCCTTGCCAAAGGACATTAGTGCTGTGTCAGGGATCGAACCACGGCCTTTAAATTTCAAGCCAAAAGCCTATCCACTAGACTACAACACTACAATCTAACAATACTCCAGTCCTACATGTAGGTAGCACTGGGTAACAAGAGTTGTGTGTACCGGTACACAATGTCATGGATTACAGGGAGTTTCTTCCTTCACCCTCGACCCGACTAGGGTTAAGATCGAGCATGGACAAACTCTCTTCTGATTCTGTAGGACATGAACTATTAAGGCATTACCGGTCTGGAACCAAAACTGCACTTCTCGAATCATTTAAATGGCTAAATATCCAAGGGACCATGAATTTGGGTTTCATCAAATTATGTGTCCTCAGTTTTCATATGGAAATACTTACATAATTTCAATACATTTTTTGGTCGAATACACTTAAAGTGATGTTAACGACAAATCTAATAAATGTACAGTAAAACATAAACACTGAAGTATGCATGTGCAGGCCTTAAATTTCAATATTTTTAGGGCAAGGCCACTTTTCTGTAGGGCACATTCCTATATTACAGCACAAATAGGAAGAATTAGAAAGGGCACCAAAAATCTCCAAGGCCAATGAGAGGGGCATTGAGGCCACTCAAAGGGGCATTCAAGGCCATGGCCTTGGTGGCCTTGGATTAATTTAAGCCCTGCATGTGTACTGGAATAGGTCCAACAGCTAGATCTTGCTGAATGCTAACAGTGAAATGCATTATGGTCCAATTTTGGCTACATGCAACAATAAAAATTGAACAACGAGGCACAAACCTGCAATGCTCGTCTCGATACTCCCTTCTGCATCGTTCACTCTCTCTAACATCTCTGGCGTGACTGTTGGGGGGACTCTATTTGCCACTTCCCTCTCTGTTTCTGTCTCTGCGTCAAAAGAGGCCACGTACTTGCTGCTGGAGTCATCGAAATCGATGATTTCATCGTCATCACTGAGGAGCTCGCTCTCGCTGTCTGGCTCATCAAGATAGTTATCAACCTGAAAGATAAGAGGGTAATTCGTTAGCATGTTTTTTCAGGAGACCTGAAAAGTCCATCCCTATTGGAAAGTAACATGCCAGGGGGGTGTTTCACAAAGATCCTAAGTCCAACTTATCTCTAAGTTGGACTTAAACATTATGAAGAGCCATTTGTAGCCTTAAAATAAAATATATTCAAAAGCGAAAAATCAAGTATACAAGACTGTTTAAAAATTCCACATCAAGAACATGAAATCCTCTTGATAAGAGAAAATATGAATGATTTGAATCAACATTTTATGCCTGCTAAAATAACTTTTACAAAAATGTTCATAGATGCTAATGGCTTTTCATAATTGTTAAGTCCAACTTAGGATCTTTGTGAAACACCCCCCTGGGCCCTGTATTACAAAAAGTTGATATCAATTGCAACTTATTTGTGATTGATATCAATTGATCGCAACTATGTACATGAGAGATAGGAGACTGCAAACTTGTGATTGATTGGAAGACTTGATTTGGATCAATCTCAACTCCTTGTACGCCGGGGCACAGGCAAGTCCAACCCTATTGGAAAGTAACATGTCTGTTTCTACAGAAGTACAACAAACTGTTTCTTCATGCAGCTATATAATGGAATATTTGGTATGTGCATGGGCACAAGTAATACATACTGGTCAACTTTCAACAAAAAGTAAGAATACAGTGTATTTTACATGCAATTATACAAATGTTTTCAGAAAACAGAGAGAATATAGGGTTCATAAACTTAGTTCAAAGGCAGAAAAATAGAAATCATTCCTCCAAAATAGGAATGGTTGCTTGGCAGCTTTGGTAATATTGCTGTGTGTCACATGACTTAACACCTGGGGGTGTTTCACAAAACTTGTCATCAGTGACAAATTACAGTTTTTGTTATAAGCTACCGAAATCCTTGCTTCTGATTGGTTATCAGCACATTTGTCACAGATTTTTGTCATTGAAAAAAGGCTTGTGAAACAGGCCCCAGCTTTAACAAGCTTGTTAGAGATTTGCCAAACGTACAATTTGTGCAATCTGCTCTAGAACTATTACAATACAATAGCTTTTAGCAGATGAAACAGTTCATCAAAAGGGTCTCGGGGGGTGTAAAAGCATCCATTCAAATACATTAATTTTAAAGTGACTCTGTAACATTGCCTCAGATTCTGAAACAAAATCCTGGATTATTTTAGCTCATGCTGCAATGATAATTATGAACCTTTAGGTCAGTCAGGAATCCCATGACTGTTACAAGCTGATCGCCCGTCTGATTATCAAGATATTTATGATTGGAAATTGAAATTTCATTTTTCCTAACGATCTTTATAACACAACAGCTTATTGGGGAAAATGAGTCACTCAATGATTTTTACTTGTTTGAGGCACTTCATGATCATTTGGAAGCACAATTTTTAGGGCTTCAATATTACACCATATCACAGACACTGATAATACGTAGGGCCATGCAACTCAGATTCAACATTGTTAAACGATGCCTTTAAACACTGGTTATTGACTCTACCTTGATGTATTTTGAAGACTTTTTCTTGCCATCAGATTCGAGGCTCTCTCTGTCATCAATAAAGTCCTCACCGAGCTCCTATATAAAGAAGAAGAACATAAATATGAATAAATTATTGACGAGGTAAAGAAATAATAGGGCCATCTCAGCAAGCCCCCCAAGCCAATTTTGTTATGTAACCAAAACTAATGCATACGTCATTGTGAAGTGCTTGCATGATACAAATCATTTCATTCAACCAATAATGAAAATTTGTATTTTAATTGTCAGAATGTAATATATTATGTGTTGTTAGGTAGGGCAAGTCATAATGTCTATCCAACCTAGCAATAACCAATTCACATTCATACTATTGAGATACAACTGTTCGTAGTTACAGGTGAATGCAATCATTTGTATTGAGGCACTTCAATTCAATTCAATTCAATTAAATTCATTTATTTTTCCTCTTTCAATCGCAAAGACGTATGCCTTAAATTCGTTTTACAGTACTTACAAAAATGTCCTATTATGTCTAAAGTCTCTGTAGAGGAATACTTAATTCACACAAGAATGCAAATGTTATTTTCAGTTTCTATTGTATACAAGAATATCATATCATATCTTTAAAGTAAAACAGTAAATAACCTGTTGGTTTCACCCAAAGAGCCTGAAGAAAAGGTTCAAACACGTTCAATAGATAAATATTGCACCGTTTGTAGACATGCACATTCGATATTGTTGCCAACTTCAAGAGGAAAAGCTCCTTTATTCAGTTATTTAACAGTTCTGTTTTACAAAGACTAAGAACGACTTTAAGTTGGACTGAACTATAGCAGGCCGTTCATACCACTGTTTAATTGCTCTCACTATTATGATCTTTCAATAATATCTTTTCCTTCAATGATGAATTATCAAAAAATGTAAATTCTGTAGATTTGAGACCATGATTTGTAGGTCCCTTGAGACACCAATACCAATAAATGGTGAGAGCAAACAGTGGCACGAAAGGCCTGCCATAGTTAAGTCCAACTCAAAAAGTTGATCTTAGTCTTTGCGAACACCCCCTGTAAGAAAAAAAAGAGTATTCTAAAGAATATAAAGAAGACCATGAAGATACACTTTGATCTTTCTCACCTCAATTTCTAACTCCTCGACTTGTTTTACATCTCTCTGAAGCTGCTCAGGTGTCCTGGATGATGAAGGAGAAATCTGAAATAGTTGAGAAGTCTCCTCTGACCCTTCAGAGGTCATCATCTGACCTTCGACCCTTTCATTTGACCTTTGGGCAGAAAACTGGCTCACATCATCTAAAAAGGAGAAAATGAAACACAAGATTTGCATTTATGACTGAATCTTTACAGAAGCCTAGATTGCATAAATAAAAATGAGTGATTTAAATTCATTTTTTTTTTTAGAGAGAGAGAGAGAGAGAGAGAGAGAGCCCAAAACGCTAATTCTTGATTGTTTGAGGTTAATAATTCTGGTCATATTATTTTCCTTATTTCTTTTAATATGAATTAGAATTACAACATAACTAGATGGAATTCGACTGCGCGCAGTCGAAAATGATGCCTCCGTCATAGAGCAATTTTACAAACCGAAACGGAAGAAATTTTTCAAATTCAAGTTCAATTGTAATCCATTAACATGTTCTCAGAATATCGTGATTACAAGCAATTTCTCATAAACATATATGACCCTTTGATCTTTGACCTCATGACCCTAAAATCTACTCAGTTCATTGGCTCTGCAAGATTTCCTGAGTTAAATAGTAATCCATCTGTCAGTTCTAATGAGAATGCGTCCACAAGCTATTTTTGCATACATAATGAGCCCATGACCTTTGATCTTATGAACCATTCATTGGCTCTGCAAGATACATAAATGATCTAAGTTTGGCAGGAATCCATCAATCTGTTCTAATGATAATACGATCACAAGCTATTTTTGCATACATAATGAGCCGCATGACCTTGACCTTTACCTCATGACCCCAAAATCTAATCAGTTCATCAGCTCTGCAAGTAACATACATGACCAAAGTTTGGCAGGAATCCATCAATCGGTTGTTCAGATAACGCGATCACGAGCTGTTTTTGCATACATAATGTGCGCTGTGACCTTTGACCTCGTGACCCCAAAATCTAATCAGTTCATTGGCTTTGCAAGATACATACATGACCAAAGTTTGGCAGGAATCCATCAATCGGTTCTTCAGATAACGCGATCACAAGCTGTTTTTGCATACATAATGAGCCCTGTGACCTTTGACCTTTGACCTCGTGACCCCAAAATCTAATCAGTTCATCAGCTCTGCAAGATACATACATGACCAAAGTTTGGCAGGAATCCATCAATCGGTTGTTCAGATAACGCGATCACAAGCTGTTTTTGCATACATAATGAGCCCTGTGACCTTTGACCTTTGACCTACGTGCACCAAAATGTAATCAGATTGTTTTCCTATAGTGATACACACTAGCACTAAGTTTGAAGTTTAAATCTCCAGTGGTTCTTGAGATATCATGATAACAATCTCAATGTATGGAATTTCATAAGTTGACCTCTGTGACCCTTGACCTTTGACATACGTGCTCCAAAATCTAATCAGATCGTCTTCCTATGGTGATACATACTATCCTTAAGTTTTAAGTTTAAATCTCAAATGGTTCTTGAGATATCGCGCTAACAAACTCAATACAAGGAATTTCATAAGTTGACCTCTGTGACCTGTGACCTTTGACCTACGTACTCCAAAATCTAATCAGATCGTCTTCCTATGGTGATAAATACTATTCCCGAGTCTTAAGTTTAAATCTTAAATGGTTCTTGAGATATTGTGATAACGGTCAAACGGGACGGACGGACGGTACGACGTACGGACGGACAACCCGAAAACATGATGCCTCCGGCACCACCTTCGGTGGCGGAGGCATAACAATTGTTGATCTTTAAAACTGCCAATCAGTAGGCCTATCTACAGTATATGAAAAATGTGGTCATGAATTTCCACTTTGCATTGCCAATTTAAAGCCTGTCTGCACTAGTTTGGCCAGGGGGATTAGACCTCCCTGCAAGGTCACTGACAGGTGGTGATCTCATCAAATCAGCTCTCAATTAACAAAAGAAAAAGGGGATCATGGGGGACCAACAGGCACCGATTAGGCATTGTTTGCTATATAGAGGGTGCAAGTAGTTATAAGTAATGCAGTGGGGATTTAAAGGGGAAAACTCACCTGGCGTTAATACCATAAAGGCACTCATGAATTCTTCATATGACTGGACCCTATTAGCAAGGACCGTCTCTATGGCACTCTGGACGTGTTCTTCAGACAGAACATTGGTCCTGTTATCTCTTTGCTGAGGGGTGCCTTCCATCTTCCTGGTTGCTTTACCAAGTCCCCTTTGCTTTGGCTGGCTTTACTGGATGAAACAGATGTCTGTAGTATGAAGACAAAAATTTAATGATTCGAAATGATGACCAATGAAGCTTTTATAACATCAGCTGTTCCAAGAGTAAGAAACAAACCAGTGGAGTGTTTCACAAAGACTAAGATCGACTTTAAGTTGGACTTAACTATGGCAGGCTGTTCATGCCACTGTTTGCTCTCACCATTCACTTGCATTGGTTTCTCAAGGGACGTACCAATCGTGGTCACAAATCTACAGAATTTACATTTTTTGATAGTTCACCATTGAAGGAAAAAATATTTTGATCATAATGGTGAGAGCAAACAGTGGCATTAACATTTAACAACAGACTGCCATATTGAAGTCCAACTTTAAGTCAATCTTGTTCTTTGTGAAACACTCTCCAGTATACATATGGGTATGCAGTAACACATTTCCACATTTAATATTCATGATTGAATTCTTGACTGATTTCAAAGTGCTTTGTGAGAGAAAAGTTATAAAGAATAGTCCACTAAAAGGCACTAGCGAACTCCGAAGGAGGTAGTTTGCAAGGGCTAAGGCTCCTTATGTGCAGGAATGCAGGGGGGGGGGGGGAGGGCTTCTAAGGCTCCCCCCCCCATGATCTTAGCCGTTGAACGGCTGAGCACTGCAAAAATGTGCATGCATGTCAAGTGAAGTGTATAATTACTATGGTCATTTAATTTTGTTCTCGAAAAATTAACTCACTTACATATTTATTGTAATTTATGCAAATAAGGTCATAGAATTCACATTTTTACCCATAAATCATATATTCTTCATATTTAAACATTAGTTTTTGCTACATATATTCTTTAGACTATTTGGGATAATACTACACCAAAAAAAATTGGAAGAGCCAGGTTATTCCTTATGTTATCTATTGATTTGATAATTTCTTATGTATTTCTTTGTTTTTTAATTCATGTATTTTATTGTTTTCGTTGTTCAATTTTTATTCTAACCATAATTCAACTATTTTGAACCCCAAAATAAACACCTTAACTATAATCAAGACCAAATAGACTAACCAATGTTTTATCTCTTTTTTTTGAAAAATGAGATTTCCATGTTTGAACACAAATCACGAAAATGAGCAATTTTTGGGCTGACATACAAAGAAAAAAGGTCATGTGACCTTGCAACGGTAGGGTTGATTTTCAAAAAATATGATTTCAAAAGATGCGCAAGACTTAAAAAAAAGGTCATAAAATTCAGGGCATGATACTTTGGCGTTAAAAAAATTATCGCAAAAAATGTTAAGGGGGTGGGGGGGCTTCTGAAGCTTAGCGTGCAGGATTTCTCGCTCAAATTTAATGGGGTACGGAGGCCGACATACTGTGATCAAATATACGCTTATTCACTGCAAGATAGACTCTAGTGCTATAGTATATCGCCCATCTCCACATCTCTGTGAGTATTACCAATACAAATGGAAGCTCGCAGTGCAGTGCGGCTGTCGCCATCAACTATATATATCATGATATACCGCGCCAGTTACCGGTGCACGCAGCGCCGCGCCATATCTGCTGGATCGAGCTAGAGGCGAAGGCAATTGGGTGCGCAGGTGAGGGCATATTGAGAAGAAGAGGAAGACCAAGTTGTAGAACAAAGAATACTGAAGTCAGGTTGCTCAGAATTATGAGGATCGAGGACTGTGCAGAAAAGGAAGAAATGGAGAGAATGTCATCACGCCTTCAGGGGATAAAAGTCAAATAATGAATCATGATTAAATGATGATGAAAAATATGGAAATTTTTTATAAAAACAAGAGCCCGTCATTACTTTAAAATTGTAAAATAAAGAGTAGACTCTTGATCTAGACCTAGATGATTGATAGATCTAGGCCTAGAAAGTAAAAGTAAAAAGAGCCCCCGGCCACCGGCAGTGATCGAGAAGGCTCACACTTGTCTTGGGCTCTTTTTTTGGGGGGGGGGGGGGGGAAGAAGAGCCCCATGGGAAAGGTGAAAATAATTTGAGGCTTGCTTGGCAATATCAATATTTAAATCTAGGCTAGGCCTATCAATTTTGTATCATTTTAATCATCACCAAAGGCTTAGCCTGGCACAGCCACCTCATCGTCACTGCCCACATCCACACTCGAACAGAACACACACTCCATGCATGCACAGCACATGCGCCAGCGCACTGCACAGGCTAGGCTGGCACAGCTCACCAATGGCTTCATCATGCGCCCGTCTTTTTTGACAAAAAATTGAGTGACCACATTTCACCGTTTCCGTTCTGTTAATTACCCACCCTTAATTTATTTATGGCGTAAGTTTTCATAGATAAAAAAAACATGTAAAACTAACTTGCTTAGCCTTGGACTTGATCGACTTAGAATTCGCATTTGGCATCGCCACTGCACTGTCGACATGAGCGGGTTATCAGAGGTTTGCCAGCCCGCTGGGCTGGGGCGACAGTTGATGTTGGTTCGATATGCACGGCGCGGCGCAAGAACTGTCAGACGTTCATTGATATTCATTCTGATACTGATTGACTCTAGGCCTACCATTCTCTCATTCAGTAAATCAATCATTCAAGATCTACCTAGATCTACACCATTCTCAGAACGTCAGCCTTAAATTTTAACTAAAAACTTACCAAAATTAATTATTAGCAGCAATCTGAAGTCATTTACTCGACCAATTCTACGCAACAAATTCCGAAAACTTGACGTCGTACAGCATCAGTAACCTGGCAACGAGATCGTAAAAAGAGCGCGAAGAAATTTAGTGCATGAAATTTAAATAACGACGCGATCGAGTACGCGCATATTTCGAATTAGCGCGCTAAATAATTATGGAGCGCGCAGCTCAAAAATTGAAAAGAAAATAGTCTAGAGTTTTGGTATAGAGGGCGCTATACATAAAATACTTTTTATGTGAGATAATATGATGAAAAACATATTTTTTTGTTTTTTTTTTTGTTTGGGGGGGGGGGGGGTCCAATTAATTTGTGAGGAAATACTAGGCGGCCAATCATCCAGCCGGTGAATGAGTGGGGGAGGGGGGGGGGGGGAGGGGGGAGCTTTATTTTCTTTGTTTAAAAAGGGTAAAATTAACGTTCAGTTTATTTTTTACCAGTTTTGTGTTGCTAGGGTAGCGATGGCCCGTCGCCCCCCCCCCCCCCTTCCCCTCCTTACGTGGATCCGCGCCTGCTTTGAAGGCATTGGCGGTCTTAAACAAGAACTCGATCAACTGTCCCTTTTCGTACTTGGTTTCAATATAGAAGCAGAACTTTTAACCATGCAGTGGCGGATCCAAGATTAGTGGCGATCGATGCACATATATTGTTACCAAAAAGAATATTAACAAAGCTGATTATATAGAAACAGAGAGAGCGAGAGAATAAAAGAACTTACAGAAAATTTTCAGGAGGGACACTTATTCCATTTTTTTTTAAACCGAGGATAAGGTTCCAAGAGGTGAGTGCCCCCTCATCTATAATTAAGCGTTCGTTCTCCTGATCCGTCGCTCGCCAGACCCCCCCCCCCCTCCCCCTCCTACCTCCCCTTTTCCCCTTTTCCCCTCCCTATATATAGGCTACTCCTATCACTTATCGCAATTAATGTACGAAAAGGATGAGCGATTCACATTATAGCTAATTTTCTTGTTGAATGAAATATGGTTCGTATGTATACTTAACCCTCATCTTATGACGATAATAAGGAACCGAGTCAACTGACTGTAGAAGTTCAGCTTAATTATTAATATCACGTGATATCATGTCTATTTAACACAGCCATTGGACTTTGGAATACACACCAGTCCTATGGCTATGCAAGCAATACACGATAAATATATGTACACAAACTATATGACGCACCTATAACATTGCAGTCACATGCAACTTACAAGTTTTACTTTGTTTAGCTTCCGTTCTCTGAAGACGACAGATTATTTTGTCCCGAAAAATTATCAACTGAATAGGAAATCAATATTTTCACAACATGCCGGTAAGTTAGATCACTCCGTTCATTTTTTTAATTTTGAGAAAATTTTGCTTGTCTGACATTTGTTTCGACAAAATTTACATAGTATTTTGTAAGTCTATATACAAACTCTTATAGTTTGCGACATGCACTTCGATTATGTTCCCTTGCTGCACATCAGTCGCCTGCGTTCGTATAAGTACAATCTCTTATTTTGTTAACCTATATCATTTCAACTTTGCATTATGACTTTCAGGGTATTCAAACGTACCCCAGACGATAATTATACAAACTAAACTTATGTTTATATAGTATATCATTTCGTCTTAAGTGAATTTTTGTCTATAACCATGCACATTTAAACCTTGCAATAATTTTGTGTATTCAAGTCAGGAAATTCAAACTCAAGATTATAACTATAATAATTTTTTATACAAATCAAACTGATATAATATTATCTCAGTTTATCTGAAGCGAATCACGACCATGGAATAATAATATATTAGTAGGATATTTCTTTTAAAAAAGGAATCCTTTAACGGGAAAGAGTTGGCATTCATGAAAGCTGAACTTGAAAAACATATTTAGGAGGAAATGGCAGAAATTTCGGACAAGGAAAAGGAAACTTGTGAATTATTGAAAACCAATACGGTATATACGAGCAGAATTGGGGAATTTCCATTTGGCAATGCGGTCATGATTGTGTGGTGTCACATAATTATGAGATACTCATTTATGTTGTATATAGGCCTACTCAACTTAAACAGAGTATCGGTTTTCATTTTGTTTTAATTGTAGTGATATGAGATAGACATTTTCCGTGGACTAAGAGATGCTTTGAAATAAAGAATTTTGGCCTGCCCACAAAAATGGTAAAATGTCCATGGGATATTTTCCACATTATGTGAACTTGGCTTTCAAACTTCAGATTTAAAAAAAAAGAAATTTTCCTTGTTCATCTATTCTTATCTTAAACGTGAAACTAATTGTATCTCTGATTTGTTTGTATCTGGTTGCAAAATAAATGTAATTAGAAAACATCATCCACAGCTCTTTCATATTGCATTCTGTTAGTATTGATCATCATATTGGATCAAGGTCTGATTTTTTTATCTCACAAAATACACAAACCATTTATTCAAGTGCGATACGAATAGCTAGTGGGGAGATATGGGGAGTCACCCCCACCCCGCACTCTCTTTGAAGTTTTTATTCACTTTTGAATAGTATTATAATTTTGGGGAAATCAGTAAAAGTTTTTTTTTCTCTCTCTGTTTATTTGGGCGCAGCATTATTGCCAACAATTTGAGAGTACGTCATAATATTGAAGGAGGGGGTTAACCCGTTAACACCCAAAACACACCCCATGCATACGCGCCTGCCTACACGTCACGTTTTCAAGAAAATGGCTGCGCCCTTGTCACTCTAAAAGAAATCACATCATGCCGTGCAGGAATATCTTCATTTATTCATAATACTTGTACATTTTCCTAATATACGGAATACATCAAAGGAATACATAAGGAATACATCAAAGGGCAGGAAATTACATCTCATATGTCCGAACACCTTATTCTTTAGGGTGAGGTTTCCTTTAAGTTTCTCAATGAATAATCCGAACCATCACCCCCCCCCCCCCATTCAAAATAATTTATAAAACACTTCTGCCAATGGACTTATTGGCAAATCAGAAAAAGTTTACGATCCCTTTTTGTGGCTCGGAAGCAATATTTTATTCGCAAATTTGAAAATCTGAATATACCATGCAAGGCCCCGTCTTAAAAAAGTTGCGTACGATCCAAAGTCTTCTTTCTCTTGTGTACATGTTGCGATTAATATAAACTCTTTGTAAGGACGGCCGGGTCCCAATTTTTAACCTTTGTCGAAAAATTGTCCGTAGCACCACCCCTCCCCTCCCCCCCCCCCCCCCCCCCAGGGGCGGATCTAGCTTTTTGGTTGATCCAATGGCGGATCCAGGATATTCCAAAAATCGCACCGTTTTACTGTTTTACTTTTTTTCTTCTTCTTTTTTTCATTTTTGTTCCTTCCCCCTTTTTTCTCACTTGGCCGCTTAAGGGGGGGGGGGGTAAACCACCGAACCCCTGATCCGCCCCTGCCCACTATAGAAGTAGAGACATCCGTGTTTTCACTATACGCCCCCTTTTCATCAAAATGATATCAGATTGTGGTTGGGCAGTAACTGAAGTCCAAGTTTGGTTTCAATTTGTGCTTTGTTTGTTTATGATTGTGGTTACAGCACCCGGAAATCATAATACATTCATAATGCAGTGGCCTAAAGCAATACATTAAGAGAGTATACAAATTTCGCAATGAAACCAAAACGAAAGCAATAATAACAATTGTAAACCTCGCTAAAATCATGAAAATGAGATTTTGCCAATGAATTTGTAATTGATTAAAATCGATTGCAACATAACTAGGGTCTGCATATTGCCTGTCTATAATGATTGTTACTCCAAGCTTGGAAATAAGGAACTTACGATCTATTCTATTCGCAACTCTATTATGAATCTTTCTATAATACTTTAAACGTAAATGTGCATGCAATTATGCACGGGTGCGTCCAGATTTCCTGGGGAAAATTGAAAATTTCGAGTGAAAAAAAGTACGTGCATGGCAAGAAAATAAAGTCATCAAATGCTCACGTATTAATTTACTCGAAAAATCTTTGTCAAGGAAATGAACAAAACGATACAAAACAACATCGATCAATTACGTTTTAAGTGTTTTTCTTGGGTGGTTGGGGGGGGGGGGGGGTCTATTCTTTGCTATAAAGGGAGGGTAAACACAAGAAGGGATATGTTTTGTTTTCTGTACTTATAAGGGATGCCAATCGGGGTTTATAAAAGGGGACACGGGCCACATGTGCTACCCATATTACGTGTGAATTTAGTACATTATTTAATATCTCTGTATTCTTTATGGTACTGAATCTTCTTTTTTTTTTTTTTTTTTACCGATACCATTTCTCACTCTAGCTTGGACATCACCACCACCACCACCACCATCCTCCTGCTCATCATCATCACGGTGGGCGTCACCATCATCATGGACCCGGACCAGCCTTTGGCTTCGTGGCTGGAGTAGCTTTGGCTGGAGCTGCCGCGAGCCGTCAGCCGCCCCCACCCAGGACAGTCGTCAAGGAGGAGAAGACTATTGTCGTAAGTTTGGTTATAAAAGATATAGACCGGCCGTGCAATTGCGGTTCAAGGGTTTTGGGTGCAAAATATCCATTCAATAATATTGCCTTCAGAGGTTTACATGGCAATATTTCAAACTAAATTAACAAAAAAAAAAAGCAGAAATATGTGCCCAAACGTTCAACGTTGAAGTGCATTCGCGATATCTATCCAGGCCGAATCAATATTTACCAAATATATCAAGTAGGCGGTTTCCCGGCAAAATTTGTATCATCACGTATTAGTCAAAACATATTCTTTCACAATCATGATTGGTAAGAAAAGGTTCCATTTCATTTTTTGAGAGGGGGCGTTTCCAAAACTGGTCTATACCTTTGATATTATTCAGCTCGTTATTATTTATCATTTATAATAATGATGTGCTTCGAGACCTTTTCAAATAATATGATTCGCTCTAACTATATTCGTGAGGTTGTGGAAGGAAGCGATTGGTATAACGTATGCCTTAGCAATCAGTTATCTATTTTACTTTATAATATTGAATTTTATTATCAATAACTTTCGTAAGTTTGGTTATTAATTTTATTCAGCGCGTTATTATTTATCATTAATGTGCGTTGAGACTTTTTCAAATAATTATGATGCGCTCTGTTCGTGAAGTTCGTGAGGTTGTGGAAGGAAGGGTTTGGTATCATGACGATTTGCCTTTTGCTCTCAGTTATCTATTTTACACTATTAATTTGAATGTTGTTATCAATTGTTATATTTAAAAAAAAAAAGAGAATTATCCTATTTGTTTGGTGTACGTATATAATTATTAAAATATTGAATTGAATGGAATTATATACATTTTTATTATTATTATTAGGGGAGAGGGGGGGGGGATAAAAGACCAAGTTAGATGCAATGCGGTATTTTTGTACCCCCTTTAAAAAAATATTAATCATCTAAAAATGATTAAAGGGTATAAAATTCCAAACGTTCATGAAAGCATCAGGGGACGGGCGTCAAAAAGGAATAAGAAAGCCATGGTTAAAAATTCAAATGCGACATTTATAACGTTGTTGAACTCTATATAATATGCCTACCAGGAGTTTTATTCCACATTAAAAAACGACATATGGCCACAACAATGGCAGAGGGTAATATGATACTCAGGCAATGTCAGTTGTAATGGCTATTTTCTATATTTTGCGGGTTGGTTTGATAGCTTGTACGGGGGGGGGGGGGGGGGGTGGTTGACACAGAATAACATTTTATGGGTTATTTTTCTTCGCCTCTCCTCTCTTCATTCGTTTCCTCTCTAAGGCGTGGCTTCTAATATAAGTTCGATAGGCATGCCCCCGTTTAAACTGGATCATTTTGGTTTAGTAAAGGCGAGGGGGCGGGGGGGGGGGGCAGCAAAGAGAGACTAGAGAGAGAGAGAGAAGGAGAACTGAGAAAGAAAAAAAAATAAGGAGACGATGGAAAAAGAGGAAGACGATGATGAAGAGAGAGAGAGAGAGATAGAGAGATGGGGAGGGTGGAGAGGGGGTGACAGAGAGTGAGAGAGAGAGAGAGAGAGAGAGAGAGCGAGAGAGAGAGATAGAAAGAAAGAGGTCCGAGAAAGGAAATGAGATAACGAAAGAAAAAAGTACGTGAAAATTCGACAAAGACATTATAGAAAGAGAGAATATATTTGAAAGCAGTGTTTCGTTATACGTTTGATTCCTTCCTATTTGCATTAGTACGTGAACAACCCACCGCCTAGCTACCCAACCGGGACCGCCCCACCGCCCCAGAACTACCCGTACCCTCAGCAGGGTTACCCGCAGCCACAGCAACCCCCACCATCCTACCCCTACCCATCAGCGCCTCCGGCTACCGGTTACCCGCAACCCCAACCAGCTGTCAGTTATCCCTACCCACCACCAACTTCGGGTTATCCTCAACCGCCACCAAGCGGTTACCCGAGCTCTGGATATCCGAGATAGAATGAAAGGTATCCATAGTTACCTACCTCTTTGTGATTATAATAAGCTAGATTTTACTTTCTTTAAAAAATCACATTACTTGTTTGTTAACAGAGTCAAATAAAACGTGATATCTTGTAGAAAAAAATGTAGGCTGCTCAATGTATATTGGACGAGAGATTTTGAAATTATGCATGTGATTTAATCTTATATTTAAAACCTATTTTCTATCATCTTAAACATATTCATCATTGTAATTTTCTTGTAAATATTATTGTTAACATGATTCACGCAGAGAAGTCTATAAATCTAAATAGAAAATTGGAGGAAATCATGTGAGAGTAAATGATTGAATTATACTTTTACATCTCTCTCTCTCTCTCTCTCTCTCTCTCTCTCTCCCTCCCTCTCTTTCAATTTTTCTTCACTCTGTCCCTCTTTTATTCCTGTAGGTACTGCAATCATATGATATCCTTACGGGTTGGCTTCGTAAAATCTTGGTTTACCGCCCAAACCGTCTAAGAATAGATTTTCAAGCTGATCATCACAGCACAGTCATCAAGAATCAGAGACTATAATTTTCCTGTCGCAGACGGCGCCCTAACCAATCCTTTCACATAGCCATTTAGCAAAGGGTTGGGCCAAATCGTTGTATGGGATAAGATATTATGCAATGCTCTTGAAAATAATATAGAATGATCGATATCATTATGAATTTTTATTTCTTTCATATACACTGTATATAACGTAGCCGGGGAAATTGTTGTAGAGCATACTTATTTTCAATAATGATTTTAATCGATATATTCGAGAGTTGGTTGTACGATGTAAGATACAATAATATAGAAAAATCATATTATTACCAACAAATAAATATTGCCATTGAAGGTTTAAAAAAATGTATTAGGACCCAAGAAAGTTCGAGAGTTGATTAGCTATTTACAATGTAAGATAAGTTCATTCTAATTCGGTTCAGTATCATTTATTTCCATCAAAATGAAAATGAAAATACAAATAATACTTTTTTTCTACCCCCATGATAAAACAAATAAGATTTGTTTTTCAGCACCGTACAATATAAGTGATAATAGCTATAATACAAATTAATGAAAACGTAATACATTCAAACCTGCTTTATTGACCACCTGTCTACAAAGACCACATTTTTTGTTTCCCTTGAAAATGGTTTCTCATTGAAATATGTACTAAAAAAACATGTCCACAAAGACCACCTGTCTACAAAGACCACTTTTGTGTTTCCCTTGGGTGGTCGCTATAGACAGGTTTGACTGTATAACATGATGTGAAAATGCATGCTTTGTAGAATTAATGACAAGAAACATAATGTAAAAGAGTGATCCACTAAAAACCAAAGCGAAGCTTGTAACACGTGGAATTATATTCAAAGATGCAATTATATAAAACACACTTTTCTTTTTGTTTTTCTAGGATCAATACTAAGGGTGATAGAGGATCATAGAAAGGTCGAGAATAATTTGATATTTCCATCGTAAGATGTAAATCTTTTTCATCTTTTCATCTTTTTGTTTTGTACTATTGATATTACGGTTGAATGTATTTGGACCAAAGAAAAAAAATGAAAATGACTATTAGTAAAATTACTCCGAGAATGTTTTGATTTGCGTTATTTTTGTAGTGCTGTTTTTTGTTTCATGAATAGGGATAATGTATGAAATATTAAAGTAATAAATTTGCTCTTTTTGTTCTGTATGTATTTCTTAGAAATCTGTAAAAAATGTTAAACAAAATAATTATTAAATTGTTATAAAAAACAATTCATGCAAATCATATTGGTATGCTCTATCGGCAACAAGAGCTGCCAGTATGGAATATTTACATAGAGGCAGGGGAGGGGAAAAGCGGAAAGAGGGGAGAAAAAAGAAAGCGATGAAGGAGCTATATGAGAGAGGGAGAGAGGTAAGAGAGAGGAGAGAGGTAAGAGAGAGAGGGTGAGAGGTAAGAGAGGGCGGGAGGGAGATAGGGAAGGAGAGTGGAAGGGAGTGAGAGATGGAGGGAGAGAGAGGGGTAAGAAGGGGTGCTAATCAATAAGGTACGCCTCCCGATACGCCTAGACAAGATTCTTGTCGAATTTATCGCTTTTATCTCTGCCTATATAGCCTGCCCGTGTGAGAAGTTAGGGATCAACAACCTGTCGTTTGGAGCGCCCTGTCAAGTACTAATCGAAGAGATTCGATCACACAGTATGGCCTCCGTATTGTCTTTTTTTTTCATTGCGATAATATTATGCTAAAACTCGAAACGAGCTAGCTCATGAATATTCAAGTTTTAATTTACATATTTTACGCGCTGCGCGCAGGCCAAAATCCACATTTCGCTGATGCACTAAAAAGGTGTCGTCTTCTTCTTCTTCTGATTAAGTCTGCCTCCTTCAAATGACTGAAGATTCTTGCAAACTATGTTTGCAAGAATGTTTGCATAAAATTAGATCGAGGTAAAGGTAGGCGTAGCTAACACGATCATCGTTTAGACGGTCACTACTCCGACCTTTACACCTACCTGACCATATTTACCCCCGACTGCATGGTTCTAGGACAACTACCCCCTGGACACCCCCCGGATAACCACCCCCAGTCAACTACGGCACTACTCCCTATATAGGATTGATTGATATCTTTATTTATACACGGTTAAAAAAGCCCAAACAGTTACAAGACTGATTTCCATTGAGGCCGTGTGAAACAATGTAAATACATTAACAAAAATAACAGGATCAAGAATTCAAGATAATTTTTTTTAAAATAACGATAGAATACCTACTGCCGGAAAAGTATATTTTATATGAATAACAATAATGAGTGTCCAAACAAGAGTACTGGAATATACTTCAAATTCAAATCGGTAATAAGAATTGTTACTAGTGCATATCATAAACTGCCGGAATTGATATATTTAACACACACGCAAAACAAAACAATTTGTTTTCCACTACACAGTTAAAAATTTAGTGAACATGTTGTTTAAAAGTTTAAACACTGTTACTGTTGATTAACGGGTGACCTGATCTAAGAGTTGTTTAAAATGTTAAGCAACTCGAGTTGTTTAAAGTTTAAACACTTAGTTGATCAACATTTTGAACAACTTGTTTAAAATCACAATTTAAACAACTGGTGTTGTTTAAAGACGGTTGTTTAAAACGGAGCTGTTGTTCAGTGGGGGTTGTTTACACCAACTGGGTTGTTTAAAGAAAGTTGTTTAAAAAGGAGCTGTTGTTCAGTGGGGGTTGTTTACACCAACTGGGTTGTTTAAAGAAAGTTGTTTAAAAAGGAGCTGTTGTTAAATAATAATAATAATATTGGATTCTTATATAGCGCACGTATCGACCTTGCAAGGTCCTCAAGGCGCTCCAACATTACCCGGCTATGCTAGGCTGCCATAGGACATTAGTTCCGCGGCGGGACTCGAACCGTGGACCTTGTGATCGACAGTCCGGCGACGTTTCCACTCATCCACGACACGTCTACAGCTTGGTTGGCCATGATTTGAAACAAATCTTTTAGCCAACGCGCACTTTACTGGCACGTGACACATGACGTCATATGTAAACAACACTGTCTAAAAGCTCTCGTATAGTAAATAAAGCAGTCATTAAATTTTAAACAGCAAATGTTTAACAAAATTACTTTCGTTTCGAGCAACATTGTTTACAATTTGTTCAACTGTTGTTTAAGATAGTGTACAACTGTAAGTGAACATCACTTTTTTAAGCAGCGTTTTTACTGTGTAGGGTAACTACCCTCTAGGACGACTATCCCCTGGGACATATACCCCCAGACAACTACCCCCGGACAACCATCCCCGGACACAGAGGCGGCGGAGCGACTTCCAAAGTGGGGGGGGGGGGAGGAACATAAAAAGAGCACTTTCCTGGAGAAAAAAAGGGCACCTTCAAAGGGGAATCTCAAAGCCAAAATATACAATTGTTTTGACATTGGTATATACTACCCCTATATTGTGATTACATTATCAGGGATGATTTGATTATTTGTTTGTCTGTATACATCATAGATATCATATAAGTATCATATAAGTATCATACTTTGCAGTTGGATGCGATGGTCTGAAAATTTTAAAGATTTGTGAAATTATAAGCACATTCTAATAAAGGAAGACTGAAAAGACCTTTGATAAGTAACATAATTATATAATCTTTAACTATACGAGCAAGCGTTGGGGGAATTGCTCTTAGTCGCTTGAAATTAGGGGCACGATTAATGAGGAAAAGGGGACACTTATCGATCAGACATGAATATTCAAGAGAATCGAGACTTTCCTTACCCGGCGTAATGAATATTCATGATATAATAGGAATCTGGGCTCACCGTGGTCCCGTGGAACGAAAAAATTAAGACGCGTCCCGGTAGAAGGGCGCAATGAGTGTACGACCCATGTGCAAGGGTGCGCATCGCGCAGTTGCCCTCCCGGCAGAATGGCTCGAGCATTAAAACGGATGTAACTTCAAAAGTATTTACAACTGAATTTCCAAACATGGTGTAATTAAATTGATCCATAAGTGCTATAAAATAGCAATCTTATAGTTTAAATGACGTAGCAGCTCAGTTATGGTAGGCATTCAAACGTTTATAACGCGAGTATCTCGAAAACGTTTTTTTTCCGCGCGCGCACAAGCTACGCCCTTCCGGGGCGCGCATATTTTTTTTTACACAACTGTTTAGCCACTTCAGTTATACTGTGCAAACGACAAGAGACAGAGTCTAGCATTACCCGGCCCCCCCCCCCCCCCCCCCCCCCCCACTCAGAGGTCGAAATGACAGCATGCGTGTTGCCAAAATGTCCGGTAAAGGTGTACTTTTCGTGCGACAAAGTCCGGCCCGAGAATTGTAAAAAAAGGGGTGTATTTGACTTTTCACCCGGAGATTTCTTTAAAAAGGGGGTGTTTTTTCGTTTTTTCTCTCATCTCTTTGGACTCCTGAGAAATTATTCCGAATATAGGGGGGTACATTGAGAATTTTTCCTGATTTAGGGGGGGGGGGGGGTCTCCAAGGCAGGAAAAGCCCGGGAAAAGCCCGCGAAAGGGGGGTTCGGAAATGTTGGCAGTCCTCAGATAGGGGGTGCTTTCAAAAAGAGGGAACAAGCATAATATATGCGTACCCTAAATAACACTGAGTAGGGGGGGGGGGGGCGGGAGCATTACACTCAGCAGTTTTGATGGATTGCTGGAGCTGTACGTGTGTACATATAGGCCTACTCGTTATTTGTTTCGGGTTAAATTTATCCTCTCTTCTCTTTCATTATATATTTCTGTGTTCTCCTTCAATCTATCCTCTTCTCTTTTGTCATGTATTTCTTTGTTTCTTCAATCTATCCTTTTTCTCCTTCGTTATATATTTTTTTTGTTTTTCCTGAGTCAACCAATCCCCCAGTTGCCAAAATGTCTGCTTAACAAACAGGAAAAAAGGGTAATTTAACCTTGTTGTACTATTTTATACGACTCTTATTCTCAACTGACCTGAGCTCTAAACAACAAAAAGCTTACGATGTGCTTCCAATTTTAACATTGCCAATCTCTGGAAACATCTTGTATTGTTTCTGTTTGTTTGATTTTCACTTAATTTGGACAATTCCCGTGTTTATTGCACCAAAATAACTACATATAAATTTATCTCCAGTGTGAATGTATACCCAGGAATTGTACGAACTTATGATTGCTATATTTTAGAATAAAAATGTGTTAAAATGCAACATCTGGGCCTTTAGAGAGCCCTGAAATACATCAGCTTCAAGGGGCTCCGCCCCCTGCATCCCGCCCCGGCTCTTCAATATTATGTATTTCTATGTTCTTCCTTTGACTTATCCTCTTCTCTTTCCATCTTTCATTATTAAACGGAATTTTTCCAGATGAGCTAAAGAAAGCTAAAGTAACACAAGTTGCTTCCGCTCAAAGTACGCTTTCCGTTCACATTGCACGTTAGACCCCGTTCTCACTCACTTCGTTGGAGCGCTCTGGAGCGCTCTAACTAAGACCCGTTCCTCAGGAGCGGTTCTTAGGTGAGTGAGAACGCTCAAAGTGGTCCAGGAAGCGGACTTCTGGA